CGAAGTTCTAAATGCGCATGAAAATTGTTATCTGATTGTAGTACGCGTATCGCTAAACTTTTCTCTGAACATTATACTGTAAAGGATATATATGACCCAGATCTGTACGAGCTATATTCAATCGTTTTACACGTCCCTACGTGCATACGCATGTCACAACGGAACATATGTCAGCGAGTTTCTTTATCAACAAAGAATAAAAGACAGTTATACTCGTGTAACCTCGTTCTCGCGATGCAAAACGTGTTTCGTTGCGCCGTGTTTGGACTTAATCGAGTCTGATTCAAATAGTATTTCTACAAAAAGTAGCATTCGTGTGTTGATAGTGTTACGGCGATTGTTGAAAAAAGAAATGTACACGCTGTTAAAGGAAAAATAATAGCGATTAATCGTGACAAGAATGGGACTCGTCATTCTTACTAAGATGCGGTCCTGTGCGTTGTGTGGTCTGTATGTGTGACAAAAAACAAAAAGAAAATGTCAGTAGAAATTGACGTGCAAGTAAAAACAACGGTAGAATGTTAGTGTATTACGAATGTTAATTTTTTTTTTATAAAATAAGAATTGCACGATTGGATTGAAGTGTGAATCGAAAATGCCGAGGTTAAATTCCGAAACAAGATGTCAATAGTAGAGAAGATTTTGAAGGACACGAGGTATGCTTTATCATTTGATCGAGATAATAGTAATAAGAAACAAATAATTATCTGTTTATTATCTCTCGAGAAAAATATTGAAATTTCTAGCGTATTTTGAAATGTGTCATCTATGATTAACATACGACATTTTTTTCCATATTTAATTTTTTACCTAAAGCTAAATGCTTCGAATAATTAATTATTGTAAAGTATTTTAAGAAATTCAAAAAAATTTAAAGATTATGTCCCAGTGAAAAATTATTTTTCAATTAAAAAATGAAAGATGTTTGATGTTATTGTCTTGATAAAATTCAATGATTACTTTAATATCATGTGCAATATTTAAACTATGCAAACACTAGGGCCAATGCTATAAAAAAGAATTTTTATGTTTATCATGTAATGTAAAGTTCAGCCATATAATACAAATATTTCTTTTACAGATTCATATCATATTGGCACAAAATGTAATGTTACATTTATTATTATTATTAAATTATTTTTACAATGGGAAACGTTATACCAATGAGCTGGTTGAACCAGATGTTGTTGATTTTAAGTATAGTAAGTGCTTCGTTGTCTTTAGTTATACAAGAATGGGCAGGTCTCATACCATTACCGATTTATGTTTCGATTCTATGGGCTGTTTTTGTTGTAATAATATCAGTGTGGCTCAGTTGTTATTTACTTCAACTTGCACTAAAAGCAAATGGTCCACTCAACATAAAACTTCTCAATGACTGGTTATATACAAAATTAGCGAGTAATATGAAGTTATACAATTCAGGGGGAAAAGAAATTTGCAATAGCAAGTGCAAAGATAAAGTAAAAGAAAATGAACATATAGATTCCATGCAAAAATCTAGCGAAAAGAATAAAGACAATGTTGCAACAATGAAAAAATCATCTAAGAAAATATTTACATTCAATGCAACATCCATTTCTTCGAAACGAAAAAAAATACCAGGAGTAAGTGACATGGTGAAAGAAATAAATTTAAAATGCATTGATATCTGGTATAAATCTATCAGCAGTGATAAATCATTTCCTGATGATGCACAAAAAATGCTAAAAAAATTATTGACCAAATTATTTTATAAAATCAACTTAATGGACAAAACAAAGCTAACTCATAAGCTAGCTAATGTGTTCTTGTTACATTTAAAAGAATATCACAGGTACAGGATGGTATTTTAAATAAATTGTGTTACCAATGTTATTGCTCAGTTTATGACAGCCTATATCTGTATCATAGATTGTCCTAAAATTGATGTGATAGCAGAAAATTTCTACTGAATGATAATTGTATTTTATTATAGGGCATCACGTCGGGTAGAAAAAGGAACAGCAACAAGTATAGAAGAAGCATTCAAGTATTTACATCCTGGTTCTCGTAACACATCAGTATTGGAGCACATGCTTGATCAAAAAATTAGTATCTTAGCACAAGAATTTTTACAATGGGAATTAACAAGTTCATTGCCATGTAAACTATTAATGTCTATTTTAGCAAAAAGATTATTATTAATTATAGAAACGATAAGTTCTCCAAACTATTTTTTCCAAAGTATATCAGATTTGTTACAACCTACATCAACAGAAGTCGCAGAAGTTCAAATTAAAAAGAATGAGGATGTATCATGCACAAAAGTACATATTTCTACAAAATTTAGTAATAAACAAAAATATTAATCAATCAATGATTATAAAATAATGAAAACGATTTTTTCAGAAATTTATATCTGACGCTTTAAGCGATGGTATAACGTCTTCAACGGCAGCTATAATTCCACGGCTCCTACCAAAACCTAAATCCAATGTATCTGCAAAAACTGTAGATGAAGATAAAAATAACTTATTAACCATAAATGACAAAAGACCTACTTTACGCTTAGATAATTTAGCTACAGAACATAGAGGTCTTTGGGGTCAGAGCATGTCAGAAGTAGATGCTGAAATAGATGATAAGATATCTCCAGTATATGAAGAACCCACTGATTTTGCAACAACAATTGCTAGACTTAGAAATGTATTACAACAAAAGTCAACTGTGAATACACCTTTGTAAGTAATAATATTTCCAATGTTTAACAATGTAATATTCTCTTACATTGGATATTTTCAGACACGTAGAAGAAAAATCTTATGTGGTATACGAAGGTAGTCAATTTACAAATTTATTGATTCCGTGGACAGAGTTCCATACAGCCCCCGATGGTTCGCAGCAGTTACTTTATTGTATTCAATTTGACGATGTGGAACAACGTGGAGTTGATTTATTTGAAACAACAACCGCTACTGTCAGGAGACAATACCGAGATTTTGCTCAGTTACATGCTTGTCTGCAAGAGGTACAATAAAAATTAAGTGTTTATTTTATTTCCTAATACAGTAAGTCCTTGAATTACACAGATTCGTAGGTATATAATTGTCTCACTTATATCCTTGGTCATATACGCGTACGTATTTACATATGAAAAAGGATACATAGGAATCTGTTGAATTTCAATTAACTTTTGTAATAGAAATTATGTATCAAATGAATTGTGATGAAAAAGAAAGATCAGTCATAGCAGAAATTCCTATTTAGTGGTACTGATTTCTAATTGGTCCTTGTGAATAACAATTATTTGATACCCCTAATAATGATTTCATATTATGCTTAACCACAGACTGATCTTTCTTTCCCTGTAATACACTGTATTTATACAATTCGAGTTACACAGAAAGTTTCGCAACAAAGTGAACGCGAAAACTGTCTGTATATTATTTTATTTGCTAGTTGCGATATTTAATTTATAGATTCCAGAATTAGCGCCTATTATGACAGATTTAGTATTACCAGAAGGTGGACGTATTGAGTTAGAGAATTATTTAAAAACTCTAACTACACGCTTAGCTAACGAATGTCCACCACAATTGCGACATTTTCTGCGCCCAAGTAGTAGTGCTGGTAAAAAAGCAGATGTGGTTGCGCCTCGATTCGATAGATTTTTGGCCAAAACTGTAAGTGGTGTTTTCAACACTTTGAAAACAGTTGTGCCAGGGTTTGAAGCTGAACAAGAAGAGGAAAATGTTCAATTACCTACATTAATGCCTTTATCCGATATACCATGGAGGTTTGTCGAGGATATTAAATCGGTAATTTGATAAAGATCATGACAAAGCTGCTGATGATAAATTTAAAAAATGAGATGTATTATTGTATTATTGTAGAAGAGTATAGCAGGTGAACTCCAACAACTTGTAGATGAAAGAATTGAGTATTCTACAGTAGATACAGCTTACGAAGCTGTTGATTCAATGGATGGTAATAACGATACTGCATTGTTAACTCATTGGTCGGAAATCACAAAGGCTCCTTATGAAGGTAAATTCAATATAACAACAAATGTTATAATGTGTCTTAAAGTATGTAAGTATTTACAATTATTTAATTTTTCTTTTAACAGAAGAAGTAGATGAATTGGACTCACACTTAATGTTAACATGTGCTGCTATAGATCTCATCTGTGAATTATTAGCAGGCATTGGAAGTAATAATGCTTTACAACAAGAATCAGTCGTTAGGTGGACAAAGTTACTTTTTGGAAATGTCACTGAACCTTTATTACAAGTAATAATTCAGTATATTTTGTCCATTATTTTTTGCTACTATAGTAATTATTATTCATATTTTTATATTGAATTATTAATTTAAACCATTTTCCAGACTGCTATTCTTCAGATTTTTGATTGCTTGGGTAATATATCACTACTTAAAAATGTACAAAAATTTTCTGACGAGCCTCTAATACACACAAAGGAAAGACTGTTGCAACAACTACTAGCTAAAATTCCAAATAACGTAAAATTAATATTTGGTGAAGATGATATGTCAAACATTCTAAAATATCTACTTGGTTGTTATGAAATAAAGAAAATTAATGTAGATTTAAATCTACAGATATTAGATGTTCTAGCATCACAACTATTAATTTCATGTAGATCATAGTAATGTAATTCTACGGTCATTTAATTTAACTTAAAACTTGGTTAAGAAAGAACAGTACAATATATACCTATAAAGATGTATATTATTTAAATTATTTACTACCATTGGAAGTCATGAATTACTAAAATATATTTTAGTCAGGAAGGAATTGATGTGCCATATGTAGTAAATTTGTTGATAATTAACGACTAAGAACTATAAAATTTTCAAAACCAGACTGTGTACCTGATTATATATTTAAAATAAGAATGCCAAGTATTTTTTCCATTAACACGACTCTTATGAGTTATGACATGTATTGTGCATATTAGGTACTACATGTATTTAAACTGTACATTCGAATTTAATGTTTAAGTTTTGTACAAATGTTTATGAAAAACTATTATATTTCACATCAATAAAAGTCTATCAATACATACGAAATTTAAATGTAAGCAGAATTATAATAGATTAATACATATTTATTCTTACGATTAAACAAATTCAATTTGTAATTTAATTAATTCTCCTTTACTTGTTCATTTGTGGCCTTCTGTTTCTCTAATTGTGCTCTGAAAGAAATTGCATTTTGTGAAATATTTAATTATTTAAACGTAATATTGATAACTATTTACAATAATGCCAATAATAATTTTAACAGCATTTAAACATGTTTGATTTGTTTGATCACTGAATGTTCTAGATAAAAAATATTTATCATTCCCACCGGCCCCTGTCTAGCTAGGGTACCTCGGGGTTGCTAAGCCCGTACTGTAGCTCCATACTCGCATGCTACAGCCCCTGAGGGCACTTTATCATTCCCTTGTACCCTTCAAGATGCATATAATTGTTAGAAACTTTGATTTGTACCAAATATCTCTGATTCTAAAACATTCAGTGATCGTTTTTTAGTTCTATTTCAGTTATTACTTTTTAAGCATAAACAATTACTGTAATATAATTAAAAGAATCATTAAATTAGATCTATGTTTCCATAGTTAAGTTTGACAGAAGCAGTTTTCTACTTATTTGGATTAGCATTTAATTAGCATTCTTCCCGTTACAAAACATACCTTAATTGTTGGTTAAAATCGTCCTCTACGTCGTCATCATCCCAATTGTCCTCCCAAACGCTGATATCTTCGTTGTCCTCATCTACCGCGGTCCAATCTACCAAGTGATTCAGCAAAGTTGAGGTTAGGTTGCAATATACACACATCTATTATTTTATAAGACTGGCTGTGTGGATTTTTGTACCTTCTGCAGGAAACTCTTCGAACTCGTCGTCTTCCTCCAGCAATCCCAGATCAACTTTCGTTTTGTCATTTTTACTGTCTGACATTTTCAGATCTGATATTAACCCACGCATTAATAACCAATTGCTGTTATCAAATGTGATTGAATGTATTTGAATTTTCTAGATTTTAGAAACTCAGCAACACTTGTTAGCAATATGAAACGAATATGTAAAGCCACGTGAAGCTAACGGTTTTCAGATTTCGATTTGCGTCTTGGAAGGAGGAAGGTGTACCAACGTGAAGAAGCCACAATCCATGAATAATATCGACAGTAAAACGCGGTTAATTCAAAAACGAGATTCAAACACGAAAGTGGTAATTCTATCGTAAATTTTCCGCTGTCTCCATTTCATGTTAAAAATTATAATGAAATTAAATATGGTGTAGTCAACATGAAACTAAAGAAGAATTTAGGTTATCAATCTGTTATATTTTACTTTCTTTACAAAATGAAGCCACGGTTGAGGTTACTATTGATGTATGTTACAATTTTGATTTTAAATTTATTTGAGACAGATGAATGTTTTTTTCTATTATTTTTTATCGTCATTTGAAATATAATTGTATGTTACAACAAATTACATAGAAAGAATTGGTGCTTTATATAAAGTAAGTGATTAAATGTGGGGATTGGTTTACTACTAATAGTAGGCGTGATAGACGTATAACTTCTGAACGGTGTTTGATTTATTTAATACTATAAGAACACTAGTTTTACAGGTTCCTTGAAATTGCTAACTCCTTACTATACCTACAATTAAATATGGCTACAGCTGAGGACTATACCTGAGGGCCCAATGGAATTGAAATTGAAATTGAAATTGAAATTTAGTTATCTCAGCAATACAAGCAATTATCTCTACCATACTTCTGAGATGAATTGTGTTCAGTCTATTTCATAAAAAGAATTTATTATCACATCACTATATACTATGCAGTAATGATAACCACCTGTAGATGTTAATCTCGAGAACAAAGGAACATTATCTTTTTGCAAATAAGACGTCTCAATGATTATGTGTCTTTTGTTCGACTTGGATACGTTCAGTTACGAGTATATCGATTTTTGTTCTACAAATATTTTTATATCAAGCGACACACATGTTTTTAAGAACGTCTTTTATCGTAATTGGTCCACTCGTGTCATGATATCGACGAATTGCGCAATTTATTAGATAAAATTTGGACAGCAGCCAATTATTCTGCGATCGGTGGAGAAATAGTCTCATAGTTAAGATAGTTCCATCATGTTAACGATACTGCTAGGTATGATAACTTTATTATGATTCGAATAACTTGTCAGAAACTTTGTGAAATCTTAATACAGGCATACCATTGATATTATCAGTAAACGATAATCGTGTTTCTGAAATATCAAGTATAATTGACGTGAAACATACCGCCGAAAACAAAGATTTTGATAAATTAGACACGAGCCTCTTCGATACGTATCCTGTATTGGTGCCGCCAAACTTGGTAAACAAATCAATCAATTAGGCGCGTTTTCCGAATCATGGTATAGGTTACATTATATTCATGTAAATGTAATGATTCCGTTTATAAGTTATCTTTACAATAATCGCTCGCATAGATATTACAAATTTGTTTGAAAGACACCGCATTGCTTGATAAATTGCATGCCAACGTTAACGATTGCAACGATTATGCTTGTATGTTCTCGAAAATAATCGAGGATGACTCGATGAAATCCATTGCGTCCGCAATAAAAAATGATACAATGGATAACGTCATCCAAGCATTCAAGCAAAGTATACAAGATTGTGTGGTATGGTGGAAGTTATTCAAACATTTCGATGCGAAAGCAAATTCTCGCCAGGAACTGGGGAGGTGTCTGTTTCAAACATTTACATCCGTAAGCGATATTTCAACGTAAAAAGAGAACAATAATTGTCCAACAAATTTTATGGAACAAAAAAAAAAGGAATTTTACTCGTAAGAACTCTTTTATGTTTTCAGAAGTGTAGAGAACCTGTTTTAAATAAAATAAGATTACTTTTAATTACCAAAGAAGAAAGATAAAAATATATTATTATATTTAGGGAAGGAGTATTTGAAATGATAGTAAGACAAAGTGTTTCGTAACAAAATAAAATTTCAATATATTTTCTATATATAACAAATAATGTTATGTTCACATTTGCATCATATTGCATGATTTTTTTAATTTGATATCATCTATGTCTGTTGCATACCCTACACATCATACATTCAATTTAATTACAACATTTCCATGCAACATGTTCTAATATGTACAAATTTCAGTTCCCTCTTTGTAAACGAGAAAAAATAATAAAAATTGAATACTGTATTTTGTATCTATCATTAACAAGGATATGTTTGCAAGTGTATGTCTCATGTATAGTCTTAATTATTATGAGGAAAGAAAAGTATTTACTCTAATGGCTTTGAATTTATTCACCCAAATAGCAGGTGAATTCAAAATAAATAATAAAGAAATGTTTTTAAAATATATTAAAATTCTTGTTTTTTTTTTTTTAAATAAATATATCACCAAAACAACTTATTAAACAATAATTTCATGGCTATTCCATAACTACATATCGTTATTGTACTTTTTTCAAAGGAACAAGTTGGTATTTAACTAAATTTTCTTAAAGACTGCAGTCTCAACTAAAGTTTTTTAACTTCTAAGACTTCTCTTCATCTTTAGGTTGTTCTCTTGTAATACTCCCATTTCTTGCCCATATTTTAAACTCCATACCTCTTTTAAAATGTCGTACAATACTAGATATACCTATTATTATGTACAGCATTGCTATTGCAATGAAATACCCACCATAGACAAAATACTAGAAAAAAGATATAAGATTCAGAATATAAATAACACACGAAGCCTACAATATGGAATCAAAATACATTATCTAAATTCTTCTATATAATTATCTCTTAAGATAATTACAAAAGAAATGTATGTATATAAATAATATACAGATTAACATCATGGAAAATGACAATTGTGGAAGTCAGTTAATTAGTTACAAACAATATTAAATTTTTCTATGTACAAAACTCTGTTTCTGGATTACAAATTTTGAAGATATCTGAACTGAAATTCAGATTTAATCTTACCTGAGATCTCAGATCTAATCCTAAGTTTCCATTCACTACTATAGCTGTTAATACAGTTTGTAGTAACAATGCAAAAAAGGTATTTATACCAAATATTAAACCATAACTGTCCTCTGATATATGTTTTGCAATTTCAAAGCTGAAATTAAATATACAATATAAAGGAATGTAAATAAATTAATTTTTCAATATACAATTACATTCAAAATTATATATACCTTGCAACAGTAACCATTGTGTGATGAATGATTCCAAACACTATATAAGAAGCATATAACAACCAAATAGTGTAACTGTACGAAGAGATCACTAGGAAAATACCTTCCACAAATGACATGAGTGATACTACTACATCTCCAATTAGAGACCAATTAAATGGAATTTTTCCAATGCAAAATACGGTTACCGTACCTAATGATAAAAATCAGAATTATGTTTGTATTCATCAAACATAATTACACAACAGAAACATTATATTAATAATGAGATGATTGAAAATGATATACAAATCTAGAATACTTTTGGAAATAAATTATGATACTTGAGAAAACACTGTACTTTTATCATGAAGAAATCTTGAACATGCTATGGTATTTCCACTTAAAAAGTTTTAGATAAGAGAATATCCCACCAATTAACCACTGTTATCATTTAAAGCTGCATGATAATAATATGTTTGTTATCTATTGTTATCATCATATAAATGAAGCATTAACTACTTAAATAAGTTAATATTCAAGGTCATAAATATATTTATTGCTTGACAACATGAACTAAAAAACCAAATTATATGTAAAATGTATATAAGTTATAGATGCTCACCTATAATTGTATAAAGAGCATCTACAGCTCCGTTATAGATGCTATCAGTAGAGGATACTGCAGTTTGCCAAAGTAATTGGATATAACTAGTAATTTGTAAATACCCGCAAGTTGAAAGAGACCACCACATCGACCATTTTACAACATGACCATTTGAGTATGCTTGCAAACAATCTTTCAATAATAAAATATAAGCTTGTCTTACTTTCTGCACAATTGAAATATTTGTTTTAGGAGAAGCATACTCAACATGTTGTTCAGATATACACAATATATGATTTGAATTATGTTGTTGCAATCCTACTGTTCCATTATTCGTTAACAAAATACGATTTTTGTTTTTTGTATGAAAATAAATAGATTGGCCAACAGAGGGTAAAAAGAATGCCCATACCATTGCGAATGTAATAGCTGTAAAATAGAGTTTATTTTATACAAACTACAAATCTAACAAAGTTATTTGTCTACTTTACAAATTGAAAAATATTTAATATATAGTAATTTATATAAACCAAAGAACACATATATTATTTACTATCCCATAGTAACGCAAATATTCTTATTTTTTCTATATAAAGACTTAAATATATCTAAAAATAAATACCTGACAGAGTAATATAATTTAGTTGATGGTAATCTAACAGATTAAAGGAAGTTGTTACTTGAGCAACAATACCAGCCATACAACGTCCCACAAGAGATGCTGCTTTTGTATGGCTAGTTACTTCTTGATAATGTTTTTTATCAACTTTAGCATAAATGTAGGTGAAGTATGCTACTTCCGTGGAGAAAAACAAGCCATAAAAAAATTCTACAATTTGCATAGACAAAACATCTTGTCCTAATATTATGAGAAGGAAAGTGATAGCTCCGGAGAGGCCACACAAAATAATGATAGGCTTGTATCGTACAAAGTCTGTTATTAAAAATACAACAAATAAAGTTGCGAAATAAGAATATGTAGAAACAGGAAAAATTTCTTGGTTTACCTGAAAAATTATTAAGAAAAAAAAAAATATTTGAATCCAATAATATAAATCAAAGTAATTTTTATACACACACAGATGCAAAACTTGTTGGACCATTATCCCAATGCTAATTAATGATCAATCATGCAGGATGGACAAAAAGAGGAAAAAGAAATTCCTTATGCAAATGAAATTTTAATAATTAATCTACTACATGATAGATCCAATTCTTATTTAATTATTGAAATATAATATACAATTATCTTCAAAACAGCAAATTGCACTCTGACTGATTTGTCATGCCTGTTTTTAATGGATTAATTGAACTGAAAACTATGTAATAAAACATACTTACTTGGATGTCTGTGAAATTTTTCCACGGGCCTGTTAAATAATCAGTCACGTAAGATTCCGAAGGTCTGAACTCTTTAAAACAACCAAATACACACAAAATACATGAAATTGTTATCCACTTCATGTTAATAGTTTCTTAGATGTATCTCTTCTTCTCTTTTTTGTTTTCGGATTTTGTACCATCACCATTCTTTAAATATTCATTTTAGGTACTTTTTTAGAATCATTTATTATACTATTGTATGAAGACGTAAACATTGTATGTAAACATAGAGAAAGAGAAATTAAGTTGTAACTGTCACTTCGTTTACTTCGAGTTCAATCAAACGTTAAATAATGAAATTTTGTAAAATACACGTGTAATCTACAAACGTCCGTATAAAATATTTTGAACTCACTGTCATTACAGAACACCTAGTCAAACTTTATCATTTAAATTGAAAGAATTTTCGTCAACTATGAACAGAACCTCGTGATCCATATCCTCTCTGCATCGAAGGAGCCATGTAAATGAAAAGCACTGCACACAAAGTTCAAATTCGAGCACAATAGGACAGTGAGGGCGCAACAATCTCACCATACAATGAAAAAATGTGGAGAGGGGAACTTAAAGTGACGTAAATGTAAAATTATAATTGCAATAAACGCCATCTATTATATGTATGTATACAACACGTCTGCATGTGATTTACAGCATCATTCAAGTTGCGATGAACGAAGTTGGATATAGTTTTGCGAGCACTGTAATTTACCAGTGCTGAAATTTTATATATAAAATGCAAAGAAACGTATTTTCATTAGATTTTTTTTAAATGATTTCAAATACATTTTCTTTCAACATTTCATCCTTCTTTTCGGGTCTTCACTGGAAGATCTTGAAGAGGTTATGGGGCTAACATTTATATTACCAAAAGAAATATTTATCACTCTCTATATAACAATACAGTCAAGAGTTTGAAAAAATACATTTCTGATATACTGATATAATACTATTGCAATATAAGTTCATAGTAATGTATGTATAAATAATGTTAATTTTGTTGTATTTTCTTTTGTTAAGTAATAAAGTAATATTGTCATAAAAATAAAGTATGTGTTGTTAATTTGTTCACAATTATAACCAGTTTTATATCAATAACAAAACTATGCCGACATTTTTGTACGTCACTGTATATAGAAGCAATGCGTGAAATTGATTGAGCAATCCTCGTAGTTTAATTTTGAACGTAACCGTTCGCGAATAAAATGCGATCGAAATGTACGCATATTGAACTAAGACTGATCTAAAATTATATGTAAAATGTTATTTTAAACGACATCAGTTTCCGTGGACGAGTTGAGCGGTGTCACGTTGTATAATGTGATCAATTAAAATGTATCGTGCAAATGTAAGCATGAAAATCACATGTACCGCGTAAATAGTTACTTATCATTAAATATATTTGAAACTTTCATTTAAACTAATATAGTGTATATTATATAATACTTAATCAAATATGCATTGTGTACTTCGTATGTATCGATAAGTATACTTTCATATATAACCAATCGCGAGAAACATTAAATTATTATTTAAGTGGGAAAAATGTAATTCTTTTAGCAAAATGGTCAACCTCAAAGGGTAAATGCTGAGCCACTTCATCAAAATCTAGCTAATGGAAGGCAACCTGCCCCTATGAATATTCCAATGACAGTCTCAGAGCAATTTAGAGAATCATGGCTCACTGCTATCATCGGGCTCATTATGTTCGCAACTGGCATGTGCCTTTTATTTTGGAACGAGGTTTGCACATATTTCTGTAAATGATATTGTGAAATCAACCTCCAATTGGCTGTTAATAAATCTTAAAAGTAGAGAAAGAAAATATTAGAAAAACAGATTGTCGATGGAGTCAACAACTGGTTGAGTCACCTCGTGAAATAGTTTGATTAGTAATGCAGTTATTGTATATAGCAAACTTTGTTTCCACTTTTAGCTTTTGTGTACAGTCAATTAAAAGTTGATTTTGGAATAGCTATTATATCTCTTATTAAATAAAAAGACTCGTATTATCAAAGTATGCTTAAAATATCCCAGGGAAGAGCAGTGAAGGTGGCACATTCGTTAGATGAAGCTTTACATAATGTAGCAGTGCTTTCAAATTCAATGAAGCTATTGCCTGAATATGAAGGACGCTTAATATATTTATCAGGTCCATTGAAGATATCAGAACCTTTAACAGAACCAGATTATGGAGTCATTGTATCTAGTATTAAACTGAAACGAAGAGTTCAAATGTATCAGTGGGTTGAGATAGAAGAAGAGCGAAGGTAATTTACAAAACTAAGTAAAAATAGTTTATCATTTCCTTGTATTAATTACAGCTATTTTTTATTATCAGCTTTGGTGGTGTAACAGAGGAAGAAAAACATTATTATTATACAACAGAATGGAAGGACAAACTTGTTGATTCTGATCAATTTTATATTAGAACTGGTCATGAGAATCCAAAAGAAATGCCTATTAAAAGTCAAATACAAATTGCAGATGAAGCTCAAATTGGAGTGTTTACTCTTGGGACTGAATTGAAAAAAAAATTTAACGACTTTATTGAAGTTACCAGTGATGAAAGACCAGAACGTAAAGATATTAAAATGCATTCTGGTTTATACTATCATAGTTCTGATTTATGGAACTCCCAGGTATAGTTTTTATATTACTGAATGTTTAATAAACATTAGAGGATTAATATATTTGTTAATAGGTAGGAGACATACGTATACAGTTTTCCTATGCAGGAAAAGGGGGAGATGTTTACTCTATTGTTGGGATGTTACTAAAAGGAACTATTGTACCATATATTACATCTCATGGTGAAGAGATTTTACTTCAAAGAAAGCACAAAGTGTCAGTAGATCAAATGTTTCATTTAGAACATGTGCACAACTACTGGCGCACATGGAGTATCAGGTAATGTTTCTCTTATGAAAAAGTTCTTTTCAATATCTTTGAACTATCTTAAATTTTGTTAATAAAACAATGATCATTTCAGAGGTCTTGGTTGGTTAGTATTATTTTTAGCGGCGACATGTTTAGCAAATATACTAAGAACAGTAATTTTGAACTCGACATTCTTATGCGGAATTATTGCAATTGAATCTTTAACAATGTCAGTATCTATGTCTATTAGTCTGTTAGTGATTGGTTTTGCTTGGGTATGGTATCGACCGGTAATAGGCCTTTGTCTAGCATTGGCATCAATTTTACCATTCATCTATTCAACATTAACATCAGCATCTCAATCACAACAACGTGATACGTATAGAAGACTATGAATTTACATTAAGAAACTACAGTTTATTTATGTACATATAATAATTTGTAAAAAGTTTTCCATCATACTTTATGTATTAATTTTAATCAACCTTACAAAAAGTACAAATCCTTTAAAATTATACATTATTATGTTAATCGTAAAAATGATCGAACTTTATATCAAAATCGCATATTAAAACTTTAAATCCGAATAAACAAAACCGCGTGACGTATACGAATTATGATATGAACATTGGAGTAATGCCGTGTTCAGGTTTGTAAATAAACAATAATACTTCTATAGACATAATTAGAGTACACAAAGCCAAATTATTTATTTAATTATTTATCTACTATCTATATCAAACTATGATTACTTTTAATAGTAGTATTTATTTTACAAATTTCACAACATTTTAATAGTTATTAACCTCATTATTACACATTAACCTGTACCCCATTTGAATAATACAAACGTATATAAAGAAAGTTCTTTATTTATTTTTCACTTATTTATTATACAGTTTTATATTTTACGACGATATTTAAAGTACAGTACTGTATACTTTAATTTGAAATATAAACTGAAATAATTGATATAAATATCGTACATCAATTATGCATATTTTTAAAATACTTTAACTGGATACAATTTCTTTCCTACTTATTATTAAATACTTCCGATTGTGAATAATTTTCTAATTACAAGAAATATTTGAAATTTCATAGATAATACAATAATATTACAATTCACAAAGCAAAATTAACTTGTGTAATATAGAAAGTGTAATCGTTTATATATTAAAAATCATGACCCCCGGAAGGGCCTCGCTCCCTCCTCGCCGGACACCCCAGGCCGGAGGTGGTCCGCGAGAGTGGAGGGGTGAGAGAACCGCGGGCACTAGAAACCCCCCCTTTTCGCGCCCCCTCACCCCTCCGCGATAGGGCCGCGTTTTCGCGTGAGCGCGGCAAGTCGCCGGTCGCGGTGTCCTCCACCCTAGGACCGCGGTGTGGCCACCACCGAGAGAACTGATCACCCTCGGGAAGGATACAGCTCTGGGTGGGGAGAGCCGCGAGCCGACGGCGAGAAGAGCGCGCCGATCGATGCGTGATCGATTTTCGGGGAAAGGTAATTAACGGTTAACCGTGAGCGAAGACGGATCGGAATACGCGAGCGAGCCGCCCCTGTTGGTCCGCGAAACCACAAGTCTTTTTTGTAATTTCGCGCGAGTGTGTTGGGGAGCCTCCCCGCCGTACCCTGCTGAGGACGTCTCCTCCGCCTTTGGAAGGATATTGGGATCTCAAGGCCGACAGGTAGGGCCCACTGGTTGGGTTTCCGTTTGTGGCGTGCGTGGGTGCGAGAGTGCGGATCGTGTGTGTGTGTCCGCGAGCGTGCTCCGGAGCACCCCTTTTCGTCCGCGACAGGATCACTACCGGAGGGAACTCCGTTAGACTTCCCTCCGTCCGTTTCGCAGATCTCTTGCGTGACCTTGCGCGGTTTAAGGACGCGCCGCGTTTCGAAGGAGAGGGCCCCTTCGGAAAACGAAAGTAACGGACGCGTGCACTTAGCACTGGCACCCAATTCTTCTAAATAAATTCGTCCGTGGGAATTGTTCCCGGCCGCCCACGCGAGATACGTCACAGTATGTTGTTAATTAAAAAGACGTAATAATTTACATTATTAGTTGAAGGTAATGTTAAGTAATAAATAATGAAATTAGAAATTTTATAAAATTTGTTTTCCCTATATTTCTTAATTTATGTAATCTTTACAGAATAAATCGTATTTGATAAATTCTAATTTTGGTTTCATCTTTCATTTATCTTCGCAAAATGATATTTGGACAAGTAGATCTATATATGAGATTATAAAAGTCAAATCTGGATAGGAGATCGCATTCATTAATACCTCCTGTTTACTACATCTTAAAATTATTTTTTATTTGGAATTTTTTACTTGCTAAGTGACTATTTACATCATTATTGAAATTGAGGGTAAGCAATCTACAAATATGTACTGCATTAGTGACATAAAAGGTTAAGTACACAAATCTGTCAACTACTATAATCTATCAATTGTTTTAGATGCAAAAGGGAAATTTAGTTCTTTGAATATTATTTGGTATTCATGATAGATTTATAATATATACAATTGTGTATTACTTGACTTACGAATAATAGCGGAAAATATTTTTATTTTACTAATATTAAAATAATTAATAATTTATTATGTTAAATTTCATTGAACATATATTTCCAGACTGTGATTATTTGAATTGCTTAAATTCCGTTCATAATTTTGCATAATTGATTCTATATATAATGCAATTGTAAAAATGAATGAAACAAATGTAAATTGAAATAAATTAATTAAATATAATATAGATATTTACATTTAATTAAATTCCTGAAATGTAACACTATTAATTTATTTACTTTAATAATCACACATAGAACAAAATTTCGCGAATTTTATTTCTCCGTTATCATATACAAATATAAGAAGATTCGTATCCTCTTGATTTCCAATAAATAAGGTTTCTCCCATAGAAAATCAATGTTACATATTAAGTAAGATTTTATTTGAACTACTTTTCTATCTACAATGCCAATCTTTCTTATACTACACTTCATTCATTCATTTAAAAATGTACACAGTATTTATAAAATATACAGGAACATGTCACCATATTCGTTCGCTTTAATGTGACTATTGGCAAAACCGAATTGTCTTTTTGTGACAGAAGTCCCATACTACACAAGCTTTCCTTGAGCTTCCATAAAAATAACATTCACCTAATTTCTATGGTATATGTTGGATTATAAAACCCTATGCGTTGTATCTACAAGGCGCGTGCACAAAGTCATGTTCATGTTATAAAAAGAATTATACGTCTAATTTTTTAAAAATATTTTCAACGCTTAGTCATTATTCGTAAAGCATTAATACAGTGACTAGAATTTCCTTGACCCAGATATGATCTCTTGATAGAGTTCTGGTGTAATTTCGATGTATTTGTTTCCAGCAAGGAAATACATTTCATCTTTTATTTTGTTTGGATCAAACCCTTCTCTTTGAAGGTCTAATTTCTTTAATTTGTATGTTCCTGTCATTTCAATTTCTTTCACAATTCTTAAGAAAATTGGTCTTGCATAAGCTGGGAGAGCTTTTTCCAAGCCTTCCCCAAGTGCTTTAAGATCTAACAAATTTTCTGGATCGACAATTGCTGCCATGCCTGCTCTTCCTTCCATTCCAGGCACCTTAAAGGACATTAACAATTATTGCGTAAATAAAACTTTAGATAGGCCTTCTGAGTCTCCGATAGAAATAGTCCAACCAGATTTGGTTATTGGTTCACAAAATTCATGATTTAGTCTTTTGGAGTACAAAATTAAAAAGTATTGTAAATTATAAAAATATTATTAATCATACAGTTTTATCATTTTGTTTTCATGTCAATACATAACTGAGGGAAATAGTTTGTTTTACACGAGTAATTAATTGTAAGAAACGTATGGAATTAAAATGAACAAAAATATGTGTAATAAAATTACAAAATAAATTTCTAAAAGTACAAACCTCAACACCATAGACAGTAGCATCTCGATATCCTGCAATATTACTTAGAACACCCTCCACTTCGGCAGTAGCAACATTTTCACCTTTCCACCTAAATGAGTCTCCTACTCTGTCTTTAAAGTAAACGTAACCGTACTCATCTTGTATCAAAATGTCACCTTAAAAAGACAACATAGAAATTATTTTAAAATGTATAGTCATCCACAATACTTATTTCAACTTTAATTGTTTCTGATAAATGTAACTTACTTGTTAGGAAGGCTTTATCGCCTTTAACAAATACATTTTCTATTATTTTCTTTTTCGACGCTTCTTTGTCTAAATATCCAGTGAATTCTCTCGACGCGTTTCCTTCTTTTATCAATCCTATGCACATTCCCGGTTCATCTAGGTCAAGAGAAAAATATATTTATTTTGATTAGTAAACATTTTTTTCACTTTGTTTGGCATCTTAACGACGACACTAAATATAATTTTATACTGTTTATTGCTAAGATATTAATATTCCTATATTATGTTCTTACTTATATCAGCTCTTATGCAAAACCCTTTTGCGTTTCTAACTGGTTCGTATGTCTCACTATTTATTCGAATAATTGTCACAGGATGAAGCGACCTGGGTATGATCAGTGGTAAGAAACCAACAGCACCAGTTTGACCATCCACATTCACTGCAGTATAAATATACACAGTTACATTAAAATTACATTTCAATGAGTACTGAATAGAAGGCTTTGTCATTTCTAAATGAAAGTGACCATTTTTCCCATTTGTTTAATTAAAATATTGAATCTTACGAATATTAGCGTTTCCTTCGCTCGACCCGTAGAACTCCGTAATCCGACCAACTTTGAAGCGTTTAACGAAGTCGCTCCAAATTTGTGGCCTCATGCCATTTCCAAACATAATTCTTAAACAGTGTGCGCTGTCCGTCGGTCGAGGTGGTGCATTTAGCAGGTAACGGCACATCTCACCAACGTATTGTGCTGCCTGATCAACAAAATAATACATGGATAAGAAAATTTCTACGAACGAAATCAATTTAGGAACTAATTTCATTGTGTATAAACATTAAAAAGCTATAGTGTATAAACATTGTAAAGCCACCTACGGTACATTTATGTTTGATGCAGTCAGTCCAATAAGATGTCACTGAAAACTTGCTTCTCAAGACGGTTGGTATACCTTTCAGAAGCGCGAAACCTATTCCCAACATACCGCCAGCTGTGTGATACAATGGATTTGGATTATACAGGATATCCTTCGAATTCAACCCCATCAAATTATACGGCAATACGGTCAGTAAGAACCTATAAACAAAGAATTTAGTTATTATTAATCATTTACCACTTTAATAATTAAATTTTTAGTAAAGATATAGCTTGAATTATTCTCTAACGTTGGCGGTAACGTTACGAGATTCTTGTCATTTTCATTTTCCAAACTTGTTTAGCAGTTTCGCTACCTTTCACTCAAGTCTTGAGTCAGTTTAATTGTAGAGAGAAATTTAAAATAAATCGAAAAGTTGCCAAAGACGTGAAATTACATCACTGTACCAGCAAAACAGTTGTTATGCAGCCAGACAGGAAGCAGCTTCACATAAAGCCACTACATTTACATGTAATCCCATTCTCGGCAAGTCGTAAGGCTTTCCTGAGAGGATTATAGATCATTTATACGTTCAGCAGGGAGATAATTCATTCTGTCTACGAAACAGCAAAGTCTAAGAATAAATAAAAGTTTAAAAACCTCTAACACATAAATAGTAAAAATTTTATTTAAATATACTTTTGTTTATTTATTATAAAATTCAAATTTTTATTTTTATTTAACGAATAAAAGATGAACAGTGAATGATCTGTAGGTATCGAATAATTATTATCCACTCAAAATTTTTTACTTTATAATTGTATATGATCGTTTGGCATATACAAATTCAAAATTTGTAAATACATGTGATGGAAAATATAATAATGATTTCATCGTGGTTGTTGCACAGGATGTTTTAGAAACAGGTCACCTTTGATATTTTAAATAATAAGAAGAAGCGTTGCTTGCAAAAGTTGTATGGCTTCCAGGGCGACGTAATGTGGTAGCAATAGTTTCTTTGTGAGTATTGGTATAGAGGATATTCAAAGGTCAATTTCATTCGAGTTCGACGATTATACAAAATTCTTAATCCTTAAGTTACTACTTAGGTATCTAATTTTTAAAAACACTGCGAAAATGATGAAAACTGTAATAATAATTTTAATAATAGTTATAATAATGTATAATAATTTATCAAATTTATTTATATGGTTGCACTGTCTCTTTAATAAAGGATTTTTCAAAAGTAGCTGTATACAAAATTTTAAAGATTCTTTTAGAAATTCTGTTAGAATACTGGAAGTGTTTCTTTACAATAAAAGGTGGAAATTATATTTGTACATCTGGTTGTAGTGACTGATCAATTGCACAAACGTAGGTGTGCGAAAATGATCGATCTGGGTATAATCTAGGTATAACATTCTACTGAATATATTGTTTTAGTAATCTAACGTCCGCTGTTGACCCACATTCGTTGGTCGATGTTTTTACATAATAAATCAACTTGTGTTAACGATTATACTAAATTCTTGGTTATAGCGTACAACAATTCTCGGACCTTGACGACTTTGCATAGTTAAAGTTGATTGTAAAGAGTCAATTCGCTAACAGGTACACGTGTACAATGGATAATCATTATTTCAGAAGTACAATTATTCAACACTTAAACAGCAATCAACAGTAATTAAAAGTAACGAATATGAAAGAAGCCAATTATTGGACTAATCATAGTCTGGCAAGTTAATAAATACCTTTATAAATATTTTAAAAAGTTAAATAATTCATGAAATTGATTACGTATTAATAAATAAATAAGTAACAATAAAATATATGTACATGTATATAGTACAAGCATATGAAAATATATTAAAATAATATTATATATTAAAATATATTGAAATTGTATTATATAGAGTGAGTTTAGTAAATAAAGTATTACAAATTCAGTAAATATTACTAAACATATCCTACTTTCATAATGAACAACTCGAATAATCATTGCTTCGATCAGAAAACAGCAAATAAAATACTGTTTTATCCTTCCATCTAGAAAATTAAAAAACAAAATATAAATTCGTTTACCTGGAATGGGGAACGATCACCACTTTTGGCAAACCAGTTGTGCCGCTTGTGTAAATGTATATCAGCTTGTCTCTGTAGCCAATTTCTTCTTTCACCACCGGTTCCTTGGTGCTGGCTTCGGATAGAAGTTCATTCAGATTATGTACACCATCCTCGCTCGCCCCTGGTTTGTTGTACAATTTGTATCTGGCGATACCGTGAATCGAGTCCTTAATGTCATCGATGGCTAGAAACAGATGTGACATTTTGCATAATTTTCAGCTCCTCAATGCCATCCAGCATTAGACGTACGAACAAAAGGGGAAGAAAGTCCTAATTCTCTAATGCAGTGATTTGTATTTGTATTTCAAAACGTAAATAAATACAAAATTAAGCAATTGAGATATTTTATCGCTTTTACACAAACAACACTGATAATACCTCTTTTGGAGTAAACATCATTTATTTTTATCCCGGTTAGTCGTGGGGGTAAATATTTTAATCGCGTCGCACTCACCAGACGTGTATTCCTCGACGTAAATGATACTCTTCACTTCGGCGATGCGAAGACAATGGATCAAAGACTGAAGTCGTAAATTCGTGTTGATTAGAGCCGTAACGACACCGAGTTTTGCCAGGCCTAGCCATATCGCGGCATACTCTGCCCTGCTCGGCATCATCAAAGCCACAGCATCCCCTTTAACATATCCAGCCTTTTGAAAGACGGACGCTATTTGGTTGGCGTATTTGTTCACCTGTGAATTTTAAATATTGCTTCTTACAAGAAGTAATCGTTTCGACTTTATTATTTCAGGCCTCCTCGATGAATAAATGAACGTTTCTCTAAAATTTATGTACTAAATTGGAAAGTTAAGGAATCGAAAATGAAGGATAAGGATGAGAAGAATCAATTTAAAGCTTGATTTTTACTTATGGAGAATTAGGTTCTTGTTTGGATCCTCCTCGGTCAATTTGGAAATACATGAGTAGACTAACATTAATATTTTATAATTTTAGGAAGACTACCTGGCTGGCTACCGACTATATTATATTGGTCTTCTTCAGTGAAATTGAATAATAAAATCCTGAAATGACAACTGAAGGAAAGGGATCCAAACAATAATTCGGATTTATATATTTAAGATAAAACAAAGGAACTGAATTAATTAAATTTGGAGGAAGGAGTAGTTCAATGAATCGCGCAGCTATTTTTGGAAAATCACAACTGCGATGTGTGTTTGAACGTACATCATAGTTCGACCAAACTTGATCCTGGACGATGAAGCAAGTCTTGTTAGGATAACGTTCCACTCTCTTCAAAAATGCCTTCGTCACGCTCATGTTTTTCCTAGATAGAACCTTCATTTCGAGTTCAGACTTAATGGCACGGTATATCAATCTAGAAATACAATTAAAAAAGAAATATTAAGATTCAGTAAACTATGGCAGATACTTGTAAAGTTAATGTAAGGCTCATACAGATAGATAAATTTTCATTTAAGCGTTTTCGTTTCAGGAACCGACGTTTCTTTTTCCATGACGAGCTGAAAATTTATGTAAACGAAATACACAGAGAGTGAGCGATATAGAGCGACAACCAATGTGTCTTGGATTATCTGCGTCCGGTAGCTCACAACTCACAATCGAGTGCGATAAGACAGGCGCTAATATGATTCATCATCCACTAATGACAGGACAATGTTCGATAATGGCTAGTTTTGACACTCGTCGAAAAAGTTAATGTTTATATAAACTTTAACACGTTGATTGCCAGACTAATACTCTTGAAATTTTCTACTGTGTTTAAATTTTGTTTATACACTACTGGAAACTACATAATCAAACATTTATTGCGGTATTTATTTTTGTGTCGTTATCGAAATTCAAGAATTTCATTCAAATTCATTTTCTTTGACACTCAACTTTTGGAATCAATTTTTTGAGCTCTTCAGTGGAAAGCACTGTCACCTATACATATATGGGTGACGTGGCGATCAACGGGTTAAACGTGGAATCCTTTTCAAGTAGATGCTACTTAAAGTAATGTAAAGCTTCGAAAAGATGTGTATAATCTATCGACAATTGCGAATTTGATGTTGGCTAATTAGAATTATGTTAGAAAAAGTTGTATGCCTTTTGGATTCCTTTCATTATTATTTGTTTGACTCATCCTCAGTACATTTGACGAGTTTAAAAAATAATTTTACGTATTTTAAATAAGGATACTAATACTAATAGCCCGAAAGAAAAAGTATAAGTTGGAATAGAAATTGAACAAAAATCAAAATAAACTGTTGTCTTCGATCGCAGCAACGTATAACGAAGCGCCATTCACCTGTACCGCCTAGAGTGCGAGGAATAAACTAGTGCAAAAGAGCAAGGGAAAACGGTTTGTCTATTATCAGACGCAGCTCGTAACCTATATCACGAGAACGACATACACAGATACCTCTCTGTAACCTTTCATGCGTGCCTTATCTTGAAATTCGTTTCCAATGAAAAATAGTCTCGCAATCGGTAATGTGAACTTTACAAATACAATTTGACGATTATACGTCTTGTAGTCAAATGGCTTTTGTTTCCTAAATTGCTATGAATCAACTTTTGACCCGAATTTGATACCAGACGAGTTCCTCCTTTACTCGCATTACGAAGAAATGAATAACCATTGCTTACGTCCCGAACTGTTTGTTTTAATGCAGAGAATCTTTTTGAGTCTTATTGAGACTTATTGTATCTCTTTCAATTGCTCGTGAGTTTTCATTAAGGTTTTCAGCGATTGGTGAGCTTTGCATACTATTATCATGCTGCATTCCAATATCTCCATCGTGCGTTGTTGGATTTTCCAAATTTTCCAGCAAATGTGGTATTTTCATTTGAAACGATTCCACTTCTAATTCTTTAATTAAAAAAGAAAATCTCGCTCTATTTTCGTGTATCATTTAATATGTGTAATTACAGATACCATATCCAGGTGAAGGTTGCTCGAATTCGTAAAACGTTTTAGAAAATATGTAAATTTATCAGAAGTTGCATGCATAATGAACGTAATATGCGTTTAACTGTAGACGAGTCGTTTCCTTTCTTTAACAAAAAAAAAAAAGAAAAAACTTTACCCTCCTATATTTTCCAATGAATACGTAATCGCGAAAATAACATTCAAGTTGTCCAAGAGATGGAAAACCTTATATAAATATGTAAATGAATCGACAATTTCAACATCCATATTGGAGATAATACACGTCTAATATTAAACCATCGTTTTGTTCTGGAATCTTTGTTTTCTTCTTGATCATTGTTTTTCGTTTCTTCCATACACTTGTTTATTTCAATGGAATAGAAAATAAATGAATTAGTGTGCTACACATTGTAAATTTTCCATAATATTGTGAACTTTAATGAAATTCTCCATAGTAATTGCGATGTCATGAAAACGTCTTGCTACAGAGTTAGTGACACGCGGTGTATATTGGCGAGACGTAGAATGAGACTTGGAATGCGAGAAAAAAAAAGTCTATCTTTTTTTGAAAAACAAACATACTTGTTTGTCGAAGATAAGTAAACTAAATAACGGCCTATTAATAACAAATCCAGCACTCGTGATATCAAAGTGAACTTTGGAAGGAAAACTTATTAAACGGGAGAACTATGTATTAAATGCATGAAATTTAAATGTTCCTGATTGATTAATATATTAAAAAAAAAAAAGAATTATTTGATCAAATCGATATTTCAACTTTTATGAGTAATAAATATATAATAACAGTATTCCAGATTATGAAAGATCTCCGACTGAATTGCTTTTAATTAGTAAATATTTTATTTACTAATACTAATAGGCGATTATAATGAAATTAAACAAAATTAATATTTTAAAATATAATAATAATACCTTTTGTTGCATTATATCACCAATAGAAATAACAATCTGAAATATGCAATCGAAATTTTATCTTATTATATTTTCACGGATGCGGGAAACAAATTGAAATTTAAGTGAAAGTGCGTCTTATCTTCTAAACATTGCAAGTTGTAACATGTATATTACTGTTGATGTTTCATATATTTTTGCGTTGTGTACACATTCTCACTGATCTACGACTATTTTTATTTGCCATAAATGACAAATTTCATTTGTTATTCGAGATTCAAAACATTACATACTTTTACGCAAACACAATTACAGGCATGTTATACTATGGAACAATAAGCAACTCTTGAATGGGAGTCAAAATTGTAAACACGATAATACTATGTCACGTGATCCAAAGATATAGCGGTAAAATAATACACACAAAGTGGTTACGAATATCTTTCAACAGTAGCTGGGTCTTTCCAATGGCTTGTGATACTTTTGTATTGTATGCTTTTCGTGAATTCAATGCAACAATCACCGTATCGACGTGGATTTTGTACTCTAGTTCTCGAAGAATCTCAAAATGGTCTTTAAAAAAATCATTAATTAATATATTTCTAATAAATATTGTAACATAATCGTCTCCTTTTATGGATTAAATTATGATTTTATAAGAATAGCTCCTCAGAAGGTCATCAGAAGGTCAACATACCATACGCAGCAGAATTTCTTTGTCGTAGCATATAATACGATTATGGAAATAACCGTTCTATTTGCAGAAATGGTGAGAGGGGTTAAAATCTCAATAACCATGGCTATAAATTTAAAAGAGAAATCTTTACCTGCAAAAGCAAAAATTCTTTTATACAGTTTAAACAGGTTTAAATGAATTCCGTTTTAAAAGTTTTATTTAAATTCTGCGCATAAACCTGTTAAAAAGTTCCATAGAAAATTATTCTGTTTAAACAGTTTAAATGAAACTGTTTAACAAATTTCATTTAAATAATGTAAATAGAACTCGTTAACGGGTTCCATCTGAGCAGCTTCCATTTAAAAAATTCTCACGTTACGAGTTCCAAATAACAGTTGTTTAAAATAAAAATTCTAGTTTATATAATGTACAGATCAAAAGATAAGAATTCTTATATAATGCGAACAGCATTACTCTCAATCTTATGTATCGAAAAATGTCATATACCGAATATTATCCAGTCGCTTATTACGTTTCTGAATGAAAACGTGATATTTTCGACGTATTATACAATCTCTGTGTCACGGTTATTAATGACGTGTTTTCTTTCCTCCCACAAACCTCATATTAAATTGTTAATCGCCTATTATTCGTAAATCTATAGTTCCTCTTTGTACAAAAAATATCCCGAGAAACAATTAGCACTTGGCTTCCCAACGTGGTTTCCATAGCTAACATAGTACGTTGGAAAGTATCGCGACGCAATCGTCTCTATTATTTCATGTAATTCGTATCCGATAATGTCCTAGAACGTCCAGTTGCGTGTAGTAGGTTCGCGTACATAACTTCATACTTGTACAAGCATTCGTATCTAGATCGACTACTTCTTTGGCTAACGGTTCGTTTTGGCAAACATGTGTAGCCTTGCGTGGGTCAGTGACCGACCATAATCCGAGAAATTGTACGTTCGGTTTACACGGGTGTCTGAGTCGTCGGAGATAGAAGCGCGTATGGAACACAAGAGAGAAAAAAAAAATGCTGTGTACAGGGTGTCCCAGGCTTAGTGATACAGCGCCCTAACTTCAAAACTATCGGCCGAATGCAAAATTTCAAATATGGAAATTGCATGGTAAAGTGGGGCTCGTGTTTCAGCGAGAAGGAATTTTTGTTAACTTTGTTATTTAACGAGATATGATGGTCAAGTTTCGTTTTTCAAATGGAACTATATATATATTTTTTTTTCTACCATGCGATAGTACTTGTCAAGACGAATTCATTAAGCTTTAATGTATTTACCCGATTTTTATTAGTTTTCAAGCTATAACATATTAGCTTTTCCATATTTGAAATTTTGCATTCGGCCGATAGTTTTGGAGTTAGAGCGCTGTATCACTAAGGCTGGGACACCCTGTGTAAAGGGCGAGGTAAACAAGTAGGACAAGTCCTAATTAAAACTGAAATATATTATCGACACATGTGTGTTACCAAGAATATATGTATAATCGCGTTGTTTTAAAAGCAGCCAATTATTTAAGGCAATAAGTATCCATTGTTTGTTTTAAAAGATAGTTGTGATTGCTGATCGCAACTAATCATGCTTATTATTAAAATTAGCCAATGATTGTGTTTATAATAAATGGAATATTATACCGTTCAGAGATAAGAATTTGCGTAAACATCCTCACTATAACAGTTTTATCAGAAAATGCAAAGTTCACCCCGAAGGCTAAACTTAACTTCAAAGTGATTGCACGGAACAAAATGTGAAACAAAATAAAACAGGATGTAACAACAAGGAAAAGATGGATGTTGTGAAGGATGAAGGAGATCTGACAACGAATTTACATGCAGATCGTGTCGAAAGACAATACATCCGTTCATCAGATATTGGACGTTCAGTAAATACAAAATAAGAACGACTCGACATTATGAAACGACTGTAAAGGCTGATCCAAAAGTCTAAACCATGAACTTAGGAGTTACAAAATTGAAAACGAAAATTAATTTTGTATTAGTGTTCATGCTATATAACTAGACTTAACATTTTTATGCATTTATAGGAAATTTGAATGTGCAAGAAACTACAAAATGCACACAATATGTAATTTTATCAAAAAATATTGAAATTGGAATTGATTGATGATCAATCTTTATGTAGGTTCAATTTTTTTTTTAGGTACGTTTGCAAAGATTTTATATATAACTTATAAAAGAAAAATGTCAATAAGTCACAGTGAAGAATAAACATAATATTTAAATGACTACAGAATTTATGACTCCTGTCAAGGTGGAAACTCAATTCAAATTCAAGTAAATGTTTTATCGTGTGCAATCCTGTAATAAATAAAAATTAGGTAAATTTTCAATAAATTTTCAGTAATTACTCAAAACAATGTAAATTTTTTAGCTTTATATCGTATTTTACACTGTCAGTCACCGGCGACTGTCGCGGCCTGAACGAAAAGTTCAGTGTCAGTCACCGATGACTGACGTGGTACTCAACGTATTAACGAAATCGTTTTCAAGCCTGAATGACGTCATCCCCGGAGTTCCAAATATGAGGACAATCTATTCGGCGAGTGGCGCATTCGTTGAAAAAGAAAAAAAATGACCTTGACTCTTTTCTTGCCTGAAATCTTTTCTGAGGCTACAACGTTACGCGAAAAAAGGTATAGTGGGTGGAACGAATATAGCGAACTACTTCAGGCACGCTCGAGTGGTTTGTTAAGCGATACCCTTACCGAATACAAGCCGACAAACGTGTTTTTCCTTACTGAAAAGCTACCCGTTGGCCGCGGGGCTGTTTTTAACCCTTCCACTGCAACGCCCTTCAAACTAAAACCGCTCATGGGGTAGGGAACGAAGCTGTTACTATTCCATGCTAATTGTCAAACGTTTTTGTTGCTTGCGAAACTCGCAGGTTTATACAATAGATGTAAGAATAGTCTATAAAAAATGAAAAATCTGTTAAGTAACGACTGAAACAAATCTAATTTTTTTTTTTATCGATAATCATTTCGTATATATTAGAATCCAGTACATAGGAAATATTAAAGATATCTTCGAATTCTTTTGTTAGAATATCTTTTACACTAACTAAGGTTAAATAGTTTGTTTTACTGATAAGGCAAGTGTCAAAGTTACAAAAAATCTGATGATACATGCAGCAATTGTAATCACGTTCAACCACGCAATTGCGTTGATCGCTAACACACGATTGACCTTCCAAGACGCACATTCATTCTGATTGATATAACCAGACATGCATGCAATATAATGATAATATTGCAATAAACATGTGCAGCATTGGCTTGAAAATATTCGAAAAATATACAAAACATATATAAATACACAAAAATAAATATAATAAAATATTCGAGCCTGTAGAAACAGGATTAACTTTAGGTCGTTTCTAAATGAAGGTATACAATCACTTTTTACATAAATCGATTTCTTCGTTCATTCTACCTATAAAAGGTACAACGCGAGATCATCAAAAATATCCATGCTTTAGGGGAAAAAGTTACATTTCTATTTCAGTTAACCTTTTCCTTTATCATTTTCTGCGACATTCTACGGAACCGGAAGTGTGGCCAGTTCCAAATCTGATGGCGCCGCCTATGCGATATAAAACCCATTCCTACCCGAAATTACTCGCAATGATTATTTTTTCCACGCACACCAGTCTGTTTTCTGCGACTACAGTGGAATTACAAAAATACAAATTTGGTAAGATAATTAAATTTAAAGTGATGTATAACTGTTTACACCCTCTAACAAAAAAGATACAGAAACCAGAAAATTCAAACCACAAGAAGTTAAAGAATAAACCATGGAAGGAAAATACAGGGTGTCCCAAAAATGTTGTAACACCTTGAAATGGGTGGTTCGAGAGGTGAATTGACACAACTTTTTCCTTAGCGAAAATGTTGTCCGAGGTTTCGTTAAGGAGATATTAAGCGAAAACCCCGACCAATCAGAGCTCGGTTGAGCGTGGGCTACGCGCTAGGCGGCCGCGCTCATACGCTACCGCGAGCGCTCCATCGGCATCCTCGCGCTCTGATTGGTCAGTGTTTTCCATTAATATCTCTTCAACGAAACCTCTGACAACATTTTCGCTAAGGAAAAAGTTGTTTCAAATCACCTCCCGAACCACCTCTTTCAAGATGTTACAACATTTTTGGGACACCCTGTATACTGCTGACATTATAAAATCAATATAAATTCGAGAAACCAAAAACTCGAGTCATCCACGAGAGAAATTTTGGGACAAAAATGTGTTCCTACACAAATTTTTATTTTATCAAAAATATAACTTGGAGGGGAAACGATAAAGGGGTCAGAACGTGGTCAGAAAGGGGTTAAACACACGACGCGTAATCTCAAGAATAAAAAAGGTTTCAACATCTTCAGCCACGCCTCTGTCAGGTCGCGCTTGATGACAATATAAATCGTACAAGACTGACCTGAGATCGCGTGGCAGCATCTTACAGATGATGTACAGCTTTCGATGGAATCTGCAAAGCACCGGAAGCAACACCAGGGCCAGGAAAATCTGGGCGATCTTGTTGAACCCGGGGAATCCAAGCCTCGATGCGACCGCGGCCACCATCGCCCCGATGACCCCCAGGGCTAACAGTAAGAGTCTGATGTCCATGGCTCAATGTCACCCACTCCACTGAATCAAGGTATCCGTAGTACGGAACTGCGAAAGGTAGCACAAACAATCCCTTATATGTCAAACCGACGGCGAAACCTCATGGACAGTCCCCGTGCTTCGTAGTTACAGTGGCGTCGCTAGGGGTAAACGTCACCCCCATAAACCTTCTTTCGTGCGAGACTCCACAGAGTATTTAGTAATTTTGTTTATATCTGCGTTACTCGTTAATCGCGATCATCGTATATCACTAAACGTAATGGCAGCACTAGTGGCATAAACAACTAGCTGAATTAGGATTCCACCATGAAAGTACAATATCATACGCACCAGACCAAATCTATTCACGTTTACATTGTTTTCTTTGATAAGGATGGAATGTTTATGCGACTATAACTGTTTACAGATCTATATCTCTATCGAAACTAATCGAAGTCGGGTAAAACACTGCACAAAAATTGGATTGACGGTCCGCTTCGTGCCACCCCTTCGAATGGAGTGGTCGCACCACGCTAGTGACGCCACTGCGTAGCTACACGCGGTAACAAGATCAAACCGACTATTTCCGAACTACACGAGACACGATCGAGTCTTTATGCTGGAAATTTTCACCTTATTTCGAAGCCACCCCCGTAAATAGGGCGACTGCTCTTTGCGTCACGGAATTACGTACTGTAACACGATTAGTTCCTTTAATTCGGAGCCGCACGAGGCGCGACGATCAATACTTCCCAGGTTGGGGATATGCATGGCACTGCGATCAGTCGTTCGCACATCGAACCTGGTCGAACTTACACGAGGTATTACAATCGATTCGTTGCGTTTCGTATCTAAACGCAAACTTCAATTGTCGAATAAAACATGCACAACCGTTTATTCGTCGATGATTAAAAATTAGAATTTAAACTACAGAATAAAATTTGATTCTTTTTAACGTGTTCACTGGCAGACTAGTACTCTTCAACATTTTTACCGTGATTAAATTTTGTTTGCAGACTACTGAAAGCTACATGATCAAGCATTTATTGTGATATTTATTTTTGTAACTTTATCGAGATTCAAGTATTTCATTCAAATTCATTTTCATTGACGCCATATATGGGGGGCGTGGCGATCAACATATTAATTAGTTGTTTATAATCGCATCAGCCACTCAAATGGGTTAATAACTCGATAAAGATTTTTGATTATGTTACAATTATTGAAAATGATTAATTTGTTTCTTAAATGTTTAAATTACTCGTGTGACTATTGAATTGAGTAAACGTGGTGAATAAGTTTCAATGTCGTGCTTTTATTCGTTATTTGTTATTCGAAGGGAAATTTGTCTATCTACTACGAAACACAACGGTCGATCGCTCATCTATTAAAAATGAAATTATTTTTAGAATTATAGACCAGGTATTACATTAGGTTTCAATTATTCTTAGTTTCACACGGCACGATCGAACTATGTTGAATATTTTACGATTAACAAGGGACACTACTTGACCATAACATGCCGATTTTAACGAAACTTTGTATATGGACACGTTTCTAGAACTTTGTGATATGGAATAAAATTTGTAACCCTTCCTCGATAAGTACAATTATTAAGCCTTTTTTATTCGATATTTTTATTTTCTTTGTTATCTAGAAGTCTAAGTTATGCTATTTGGAACTTTGGAAGACATTACCTTTGGAATCATTATCTAATTGACAAATTGTTCCCGATACCCAATCTGACTGCGCTTTCAGATAAACTGTCGTGCAACAGCACGATGTGAAACCTTTTCAGCGATTAAAACTTTCATGAGTACAAGTTTTTGTTTTCACAAAAACATAATTAAATTAAATAACCTTTTTGTTCTCTCCTCATCAGAAAATTGAATCTAACATTTTTATATAGTAATTCTAACCCGCACAAATAATTCCCTCGCGTGTCCTAATTTACAAAGAATGACCACACGAAAAAAAAATCATGGACTGTGCGACATATTTCAATTTCAACAAAATCCCTGACCTCGTATGCGAAAGTGATCGATTCGACGTGGAATGGTCCTTACGCGAGATAACTGCGATCTGTATTTCAATGTTACGCGCGCTATAACGATTTTTATGTAGTATTTATGGGAAACGCTATGATCGATCTTTTACACGAGATGCGATACCTGGTGTTCGAAAGTTACCATGCAGCTAAGAGGAAAAACCCTGGGAAATCACGCGAATGTTGAACATACATATTTGTACACAGCGCCTCATAAAAATCTTCGTACACGAGAATAAACTTTCGTCAACTTAATTTTCTGTGTTCTAATAACGATTTTAAAAAAATGTAATTGCGCATAATGTTAACCTAGAAAATGTTAATAAATTTTACCGCATGATAAATACATTTTAGTTATTCAAAGAATAATATATTTATTCGATATATACCTATCCCATTTTAAAGATCAAGAACTCTAATTACACATAACTACATTTTGTTTATATGCTGTTGCGATATCAATAAAATTAAGTTAAACGAATTTCGCCATCATGTACGAACACTTTTGTAGGCCATTGTATATACCAATGTATATGAAAAGTTATGTACATTTATGTACTGTATTAGTAAATTCAATGAGCATTATTACGTGATGTTATGTAGTAATATGTTATATACATTATGTACATACCAATATACGTATACATACATTTAACATTTCACATAACTTCCACGGTTTTTCTTCTCAGAAGAACACGTTACTCAAGATACCACATTTATTATAAACATAACCCCCGATCATTGTTTTATTTTTAAAAGCTATACGTGCCTAGAGGATTTTCGCGTAGTACTCGAGGGAAATGATTGATCCTTCGAATCTGGATGCACCACGAAACATGTCTCGTTTACGAAAGCTACAGTGCTGCTGAGAAGAAAGGTCCTGGAAATTATGCGAAATTTTAAACGTACAGATTCACACATACATATACACTAGTATATGCGAAATGTTAGATACATTTACGTAAGTACTAAATATGCATACAACATTTCACATAACTTCCACGGTTCTATTCCTCTCAAAGGAACACGTTGCACCAAGTAACACCATTTTTTACCAACATAACCACGATTTCTGTTTTACGTTAAAAAGTTCCACGTGCCGCGAGAACTTTTGCTTCGTGATCGAGGGAAATGCAATTTGATCCTTTGAAATTCGGATGTAACGGTACGAGACGAGATATATCCCGTGTGTACGAAAGCTATAGCGAAAAGTATATCACAATTCACAATTTATTTTTGACGAGTACTAAGGTGCACGAGGTACGACCGATCGGTTCTTTTGTTTCGGGATTACACACGATACGGGGATTAATACCTTGTAATTCAGGGACAAACGAAATGCCACGATCGATGCCTTTGTGCCTGACAATGAGCAACCCGGAGCACGAGCTACCGTAATCAATACCTCGCGTTTACCGAGCGCAGTACCACGCTCGACAATGATATTGACAACACTGACAAACAGCTCGGCAAGGCTACTAACTTAACTGAACAGCAAGCGCCGCGTTCCTGCGACTTGGCCGCCTCGCTATTGCGCCACCAACCAAGAATTATTCCTGTGCGGCGGTGTTCATGGCTGCAGAAAATCGAAGTTTTATTTTAACGGGATCTCTACCCAATGGCTTTCCTTCGGTCATGCACGCTTCGCAAGCCAGTTACTGAGCATGCTCGAACAACTGCGGAAATCTCGCGAACATCGTTTCGTTTCGTTTTTTTTTTTTTCGAGAATTTCTGAGCGTTTTTACGAATTTTACGATTCAATTTATGTTTCAATCGATGGCAACGAAAGGAAAACTGAATGGAATATACAATAAAGTAAATATTTAACGACCGAAATTATCATACGTGGATATGTTAAGTGCAGCAATTAATTCTGTACATTTATATTCAAGCGTTTATAACTCCAAGTAGAAATGTTTACTTGCTATTTTGTTATATTAAAGTATGAACCTTCCAAATCATCAATCTAATCTCTATGAATCCATCCCTATAATATGTATAAAGGTACAGAATTAATTTCTGTAGCTAATAATAAATTCTCGCGTTCCGAACCAATGAACATTTATTCACTATCAAACTGTAATGTTTTCGACCTAGTTACAAGACCATTTTCAGCAAAATGTTTGTAAATTAAAATCAACTCGGAATGATTCTTTCGATTTAGATTGACTCGCAACGAAAAATGTAGAAACACGTGTATACTTATTGGTGATAAGAATCGGTGCTTGTACAGAACATGTACACCTGGACTTGTCTGAAACAATAATCATTGGTTACGAACAAATATAATAGTTGTGATTTTGCAACATGATAATATCAGCGTTAGGATCTGTTGGAATTTAAAAAAGCAATTATTATTGAATATAAAAATTACAAAACATAGAATAACAAGAAATTACTGTCTAATGTAGTAAAATAAATTCAATGAAAATTATAAATTGAGCGAGGAATACTCATCGAAAATTTTAAAATCTGTGTAATAAAAAAAAAAGCCCATTGAGCAATTGTTTGTAAAAACACTATTTTTACAAACAACTAAACGTGCGATTACTTCCACTTTTACTCATTGGCAGCTCATGTGGTTAACCGCAAAATCGCGGTCGATATTAATCGATTGAAATTGAATTGTAATTCGCTTACAGCATTTACAACTAATTGACGTGTGACATCAAACATTATATAACAAAATGAAAGTATAATCATACGAATTAGTAGCTTATAAACAGGTAAAAAGACGATAACGTAAAAAACGTTTCTCAACGTTTTGGTCTTTAATGTAGATTCCTTCCAAGATTGGTCCTGTTTTTAATGTAATTACTAGAATGAGTCACAAATATAAATACAAACATAGAATACAGTGAAACAATAAAGAACAACTCGAATCACACTTTACATAATGATGAATACTATCGCTAATGAGTAAGATAATTTCCATCGATTGAAACGAATAGTACAGAATACGAATACCGATCGAACCTATTAACGTACTGAGTAAATATTCATTGATTCAAAACATGAACTTGTTTGTATACAATAAAGTAGTACTCTAGTCGTTAAAAACAAATTCTTCTTCGGTTATCTGAATTATCGAAACATTTTTAATCTAATTTCCATATCTACAAATTATTATGAAAATCTAAAACCAAGCTTGAATAATTTTAGAATACTTAGATGAAAAATAACTTTTTAAATAAAATATTTAAATTGTGTATATAAACCGCTGCTGTAGCATGCGGCTATTCGTAATACCAAAAACGATCAAATGTTTGCTAATCATTTTTTAGTTAATTAAATTTTTATTTTTAAATATCATTGAAACAGAAACAAACGGAATAAAGACTTTCAAAGCATTATCAATTTCAATTTGTGATGTCTGAGGCTGTTTACGACTTTGTTTATCGAATATGTTTTGAATTAGTTTAATTTTTTTTCAATTTTTTATACCAATCATAAATCACTACTAATTAATATATAATAACACATTAAAGAGATAATAATAAATGCATTTTGTATTGTTATCACTTAATGCTAATTTATTTTTTTTTAAAAATGAAGAAAAGATTTGATTGCAGACTTATCTCTTCATTATAAATAAAACAGTACAATATTAAATACTAAATAAATTTTCGAGTTTGCGAAAATTTATTTGGGACATCTGGATTTCCAAAATACGTCAAAATTGTTTTCTCGAGACGTGATTTTCCAGCACAATCTCTAATTCCATTCAAAGTACTTACATAACTTCAACTGATCAAAGTTCATAACTGTCATAATAGAATAATAAGCTCCTAATTTGCTATTATTACAATTACTTATTGTTTATTAGATTTTAAAGATTTGCAACTTATTATTTCTTACAGTAAATGCATAAATGTATTCACTGAGCTTACATAACAGTACCACACAAACGAATCAGTAAATCAAGTAATTATTCAGGAGTATTCATTTGATTACTGTACACTACTATGAATTTTTGAACACCACTTTCTATTGAACTTATAATTTTATTGACACAGTAATAGAACTTTTGTATGAAGTTATGTAAATACATATGCACATGCTTAGAAGGTAACTTACATTCACATCACATTTTTTCCCTTAAAATAAATTCCCCAACAAATGATTACAGCTTTTTCCATTACCTGCAAAATATCCTATATAAAATAAATATCATTTTACACATGTTACAGTTATTATAATAAATGTAAAAATAAATAGTAGGAAACTAATCATGATAATTCATTTATTATTTTCTCCTATAGAAGACAAATAAATATTTATATGAGAATATATTTTATCCAGAATAGTATATAGGATAAAATGCATATTTATTAAACACTAAACTTAACTAATACTGGACATTTCTGAATAGCATCGCCATAGGTTTTCATTCTTAGAAAAGTTCTATTCTGATGTGGTACTGTGTGTAAACAAATTGTTTGGTAATGTAAATGAGAATTATATATACACTTTATATCATCACAATCTTAAATACTGTACAATTACATTGTAACATTAAAACAAATGTCTTCGAAGTTGCTTCCTTTGTTCTAGTTTATTGAAGTTGATTCCCTGGATTTCTCTATACTCTTAAAAATTAAAAAAGCAAGTTATACACACTTGTAGTTAGTTTAGTTATAAATACCAAAAGCTTAAACAATTATTTACTGATAATCGCAAACAAAAAATTATTGTTGAAGGTTTTATTAGGCAACTAAATAATCATGCATGTACTGTGTTATACTAAACTTTAAATAAACAAGCTTGATAAAGTAACACTATACTGGCTTCCTTCTGTAGTTTACAAGTTTGTTACACAAAACATCAAGAAAATTAAAATATGCAAAAGGAATATCTTAGAACAGAAAGGAAATTCAATATAGAGCAACTTAATCATGTGCTTCATATTTCAATCTCCATTCTATTGATCTGGTCACAGTAACTTTATTACCCATATCTTATCATCTTCAGTACATATTTTAATGTTAAGTTTCTTTCAACAGATCACATGTATTGTTATACAACATTTATTATCGTCTAATGGAAAAACAGATATTGTATAAATATACTTGAATTAGTTATTAAACAATCATCGATTTTAAACACATTCATAAAAACGTTTTTTTTTTTTTTTTGGTAAAAATATTTCGATTCATGATTTATAGAATTAGTACATGATTGATGAAACAATATAACTTCTAGTTTGTACAATTATTAACTTGTCAACTGGGTCGCATTTCTCGACCAGAAACGCCTTGTGTATTTCAAGTTAAACATCAATAAAAACGAGTTAACTCGTCTTATCCAAAACTATAGTAAATTAAAATATAATCATATGAGCAAATACGGGAATGTTCAATTAAAGAAATGAAGAAAAGATATCAGAATATTTCCAAATGACAAGATTAATTGTCTCCCCCAGCTAACAGGTTAATCATTCAATCGTGCAATTATGTATTAAGTATACAATGTCAACACGTATTTCTATTATTTTGCTAGAGTTGCATATTAAAGAATTTAAGCATAGGAAGTAAATAAACAGAGAAGAATATGCAATTCTACGTTATAAACAAGCACCATTAGCGTTTCACTGGAACTTAATTAATGTTAAGGTTAAAACGCAATAGTTCCTTAATTGCATCAGTCATTTATAATCAGTCTGCTATTGAATTAACTCTCACTAAATCTTAAACAAATACATTTTAATTTTATGATAGTTTTACTGATTTAGAGCAAAGATAGGAAATGATGGGAAGACTTAAGAATGTCTTGAATGTGATGTACATTTAAAACTAAGTAGCTATTGATTAAAAAATTCTTATAGAAAGAGTGACAGAAATAATAATTTGCTGGAATTTACGATGGATTTACCTAAGTTTGCTGGGCTGGATATAATTTTTATACATTGATCTACTGGTGGTAAATATTCTAGAATAATTATAAATTCCATCTGTTCATATTTTTGAGCTCTTTTTATATGCATTAACATCATCTAAATTCAAAATATCAAATTCTATAATATTTAACCCCGCATACTGCCCAAACACTCCGCTTGATATGCTACGCTTAACAACTGTAACATAAAAGACAAATGAATTAATGTAATACAAAATATGATATACAAATTCAAATAATATTAAGTACTTTAGTAACCAACCATTTGAATTGACTTTCGTCAACATGTACGTTGGCAAATCTTGACATTCACGAGCTATGTATGTCCCAACAACCGATAAATCAGAGATTGGTGGTACAATTACTTTCATTGTTTCTCGTACAATTTCTGTGTCCACTTCATAGTATCCTACAAGAATAGTAAATATATGCTACATATGTACATATAGATACATATTTTTTAGATTAAATAACATCAAAGCATGTTCTGATGTTATTTAATTTGTATATTCATATTTATTTATTTTATAAAATATTAGAGATTTACCATTATACATTTTCCTAAGAAGATCATACATATTACGTGGTGGTAGAACTCTTTGACGATTTAATGGCATAACAAAACAGCACTGTCCATCAATATCAATTATGCCAGTTTTGTTCTTGAATAATGTACAAATAAAATTTAATATAATCACTTACATTAATCGCATTTGATACATTAACAAATTTCTTGAACTTACAATGTTAAAATCATGTATAAACCGGCCTTGGCGCCCACCACGAAAATCGGGCACATCAATTCTTTCATAATCTTCATTCTCCAAATCAATTTCAAAACGTTCCTTGAAAAAGGAACCTCTTCTAAGTTCACTATCCACATTTTTCTCAATTTTCTCTAGATTTTTAAAGAAATCAGAATCTGCTGATAATGCTTGATGAACTCCATTGTTGGTGTTAAGACCCTTGTTTGAACTTTCATAAGGAATGGTGTACCATCCTGTCCTAAATATATGCATCTGCGTTCTAGCACATTTTCGATAAATGTAGAGGCCACCAATAATGCCGATTATGAGAATCATCAATGCGACGAGAAATAGCATAATTGTTGCTGTGACATGAAGACGGCGCATGTTCCGGCGGGAGACTAAATAATGACCTCCTACACCATTATTCTGAAGCTGTGCTTCTGGATCTTTTTTTGTATCGTCCTATTTAAGAATACATATTTATTTATAAAAAAAAAACCTTTTCAAAAAATATAGAATAAACAATCAAAAATAATATATAGAATACACAATATTATTATACATGTTTTAATACACAGGGTGATTGCATGAAAACATTACAAAAAAAAGAAGTTATATAGTATAAAAAATGATTGTTAATTGAGTAAGGAAGCAGCAACTTTTCCACATTGCTAGACATGAAACAATCTGGGATTAAAAATAAATAAGTGAATTGTTAAATGTCAAATTGTATGGAAAACTTATTCTACAGGTATAAACTTAAAACTTCTGAATTTATTATTGTATAAAAAAAACTTATTTTACAAATATATTTGTAATTATTGCCTTCAGGTTCTATGTATTATCATGTAAATTTAAACGTAACTTTAATATTTCTATAAACAAAGTCAAATTACAAAAATCTAATTATTATATTGTATATTCTACTCAACGATGTACAACTTTTATTTAACCAGTTTCTTTAATAGAAAAACTAATTTACGATTTACTTAAGTTCGTCTAGCTAGATAAATCTCCCTGTATATAAACGTAATTCTGTATTCATGGAGATTTTCTAGAAAAGTACAATATTAGCAATTTATAATCTTACAACCGCGATAACACATATGATGTGAACGTGTGTAATATAATAACGCAATTATCAAATGACGTATAAAGTATCTCATACGCAGTACCCTCGGTGATATAAACGATGTAACTACGTATGTACGAATAAATTTATGTAGAAAGTATAGTATTAGATAACAATAAATTTTAACGGTAATTGGAATGTTTATGTATCAAAAATGGTTACTATTCAAGATATCTAGGCAGTGTATTATTCAATTCACTTTTACAAGAATGTCATTATCGTGTCTAAATTAAAGGTCGACAAATGTTAGAATAATGCTAACCGGTACGTTTAATTCGACGAAAAGAGGTTGTTCCACTTTGTCCGCCTTCTCGGTAATGGGCTTTGTGATGACCGTCATCTGTTCGGTGTTTTGATTTCGGTCTTGTTCCAATCAAACTATCAATATACCTTCCACGACGAAATCCGTTCCCGTGTGTCTGATCGCGTAGTTATGATCGACGATCACCGGCGTTTCGACAAGCTTTAACGTAAAACACAATGCGCACCTAAGAACACCTAAGTACAGTATAGCGGAGCCCACAGAATTTCAGGATAAACTGCATACATACAAATGCAACTGAGATTGATCGGTGACAACCGCGCCCTCAATCCACTAATAAATATTGCGTGCGCATGCGTCGATCCCGAGCAAAAGATGGTCGAATATATTCACCGGTGTAGACAATACGAACTTGAAGGACTGTGCGAAATGTAGTAGACGAGATACCTCGTCTGCGCCAACGGTAGTGAAGTCTAAATTACAGGGAAAAATGACCTTCTAGAATAACTTCCAGCCATCTTATTTTGATCAACTAACAGTGCCACCTATTTAAAACGTAGAAAAATTCAAACATACATCACAGAGTATTATTATAGAGGTGAAACTTTGGTATTTTTCTCAGTTCTGAGTCTGCTGAGTGCGCGTGCATCACTGCATTTAATTCTTGCTTTATATTGCTTTTATATTTGCTCACAAACAATCTTCATAATTTTCTGGCATCCCCAGTAGGAATACTATGGCTCAGGTACCTCGGGATCGCTAAACCCGTACTGTAGGTACAATCAAACATAGCTACAGCCACAGTTTGCTAGGTTCGATTGTGCTACAGCCCCTGAGGGGAATTGACAAACAAGGGGCTCGAAGCTAAAGAAGCGTAGAAGCTTCATGTTGTTATAACTTGCGTTCCGGCGAGTTTCGCCTCTGTAAAACTATTTTGTTATATACTTTATAATATAAACACTATAGTCTCTCAGGTCCGTGTTTCCGGCATAGATAACGTATATTTGTACATGTTTATATGAATTTTGTTATCGTATGCATATAACAATCGTATCACACCACAGGAAATACGATATTCCTTGTGCTATTATTGTTATTTAAAATTGTCCTCTTATCTTTTTATCTTCAATAACGATCCGACAAAATTATGAATGAAATGGACAGTTCTATTGAAAATATCGAATTAGAAAATCGAAGGGGATGTGAAGATGACGATTCATTTGAAAAGGAACGTGTAATAAATAAAAATGCAGAATTCGACCATGAGGAATTAGTAAAATTAACGAAAGAAGCGATTGACAATATAATTGAAAGCGACCCACTTCTTTCTGGTTTACCAACGGATGTTACAATTGAAGAAATTAAAGCTCAAATTGCTGTTGCACAAGGACAAGCGATCACTGTATACTTAAATCGTGGCGAATTACCGAAAATTGGAGTTGTAGTAATGTATTTTTTTAATAATCTTTTTCGTTTGTTTCAATCAATACCAAATACTGTTAATTCAATGGAATAGTCAAAATATTTGAAAAATAATGTAATTATAAAAGGTTTTCCAAGAGGGATTTTTTATTTATAACAAAGTATCTCTATCAATTTACTTGTGGTAGATACTACTAGTATATTTCCTACCATTTGTGTTTTATTAAAGGTACCAAATTTTAAAACCCCTTTTGGAAAATCCTTTAGATAGTCGAATAAATAAATTTCTATCAATTTAGGTACCTCCTCACAACACAACAGTTTTGGATTTGAAGAAAGCTATAAAACGTCATACAAATTTATCATTAAAAAGAGAGAAAATCAAAAAGAAAATAAGTTGGAAACACGTTTGGAAAAAGTATTACTTATGCTTTGATAATGTGAAACTGGTGGATGATAATGAGAATATAAAAACTTATGGAATTACAAACAAAGCTGAATTGCATTATATGAAAAGACATAGGGAAAAGAATAAATTGTTAAAGAATGCTTAGTTATTAGGGCAAAAACTGTGATTTGTAAATATTATGTTTTTAAGATGCATAATAATTTATATTTAATAAAATATATTACAGTATTGTTTCAAAATGTTGTAATTTGTACCGTATACATTATTCCTCTGGTAACAGTTCCTGTTTTGGCTCTAAAACTGTACATTTTAAATACGGGTTGATGTCTTCCAACAAGAAACAAGTAAACTCCATTGCTACAGACCTATAATAATTTGTTACAGTTAATGTTTTCAAATTTGCCATTTTATACACTGCTTCTAAGCCTCTTTCTGTCACATTTATACATTCAGACACATCAAGGTGTTCTAACATTGGATACTCAAAAGCTAATTTATCTATAACCCAATCATTGACAGTATTGCAACCTCTGAGGATAAGCCACCTTAGGTGGTAAAGATCACATATGCAGCTAAGATTATCATAATTTATAGGATATCCATTTAAATCTATTCCTTCTAAGATGAAGTCTGGATCATAATAATCTGGTACTATAAAAGTACTTTTACTTTTTTTAGGGTTTTCTATCCAATTTTCATGGTTTTTAAGCTTTATTCTACCACCATACTTTAAGACCAAATATGCTGTTGCTATATCAGGGCCATGTCTCTGATACATCTCATATGACCTTTTTTCAGCATATTTTCTGTATAACATTTTTTTATGTTCCCACCAATCTTTTAAATACAACAATTTAAAATCTGTCCTTTTGGGTGCATCAGTCTTATAGAATATTAGAGGTGTTCGAAGGGTAGGTAAACGAGGCTCCTTAAACTTGTCAGTTTGAAGTTTTAATTCAACAGTCTTACGATTCAGACGTATGTTCTGTGTCAAATGAATAATAGCTTTATTATCATTGTAAAATGTTCGTATTATGTTGATATGTAATTTTCGATGAGAGGTTATGGACTGTAAGAGTGGTTTAGGTAGAATATAGGTGACATGCCGAAGCAACATTGTTGTTGTCAAATTTATATGCATCACTTCTTACATAAACTCTTATTACTTCTATGAAACATTAAGTCTTCCTGTATAAATGCTATTTTTGTGTCTTGCAAAGATCGCACTAAATATTTTGCCGAAATTCGTCAAGTTGAGTAAGGTTAGCAAAACTGAAATTTCTCGATCATCTAAAACAAGAAATACGTACACCGTTAATTCAAAATTTACAAAAAATTATGTTCTTGTATCAACCACATTTACACATACAATATTACACGGAAGTACATAGTCATACACATGTCAATTTCAATGGTGTAACTAATAATTCTAGAGCCTGCGTCCTGCGAGTACCTGCAAGCTAACATTTATAAGTAAATTTGTTTAGAAGGATTTAAAGCTATTATAATGTGGTTATAAAAGCGGTATGTTTTTATTTTGAATAGAGAAATAAGCAACTGAACTTGTAACAAAATATTTCTGATAAAACTATTAGATATTTTGCCTTTGAGGTTTCAGAAAATTTTATATTCGGGCACCATCCAATAAAATAAAAGTTTTGAGTTACATAAAACTGAAGTTGTGTTTCAACATTTATTTCAACATGATTCCCATTCCCCCTTTCAGCTCTTTTCTTTATTATCTAAAAACTCTAAAACGAATTTTTAAAAAATTCAAGCGGGGACCCCTATACATTACCTATTTTTAATCAATTATGACCACAGATCTGTGATTATGACACCTTACTGATTTCATTTCAACACGCTTGCGCGAAACTCCGAGCAGACCTGACAATTAACCTTTAAAATTATTGCCATTCAAAATAACCGTAAACAAAGTAAACACTGCGTAGTAGAAATAGGTAAAAAATGGATCATGAAGAAGAATTTCTTAACACCTTTTTCACTCAGGTTGCTCAATTGTGTACAGATAAAGCCAAGGAGTTAGTTGTAAGTGATCACCGAATGGAAGTAAACATTGTGTTTTGTAAAAGCATTATTGCTAATCTGTTTAAAATCGATTCAACTTTTAAGTACGTTTTTATTTAATAGTATGTATATGCTATTATGATCTACGACATTTTAAGTAAAAGTATTTAAGTAAATTTTTAGCAAGTTTTATATGTAAAATATTTTAGTGACGTTTATTTCAATACAATGTAAACAAGCTATACATACGATTTCACAAAAGGAATTAAATTGTTTCTGATAATTAATAGGAAAAGGAACGTGGATCATGTCGCCAAACACAGATGGGTCCATGGGGAATGTTGCTTATGCATTTACCACAAATAGCAGTAGCAGAACATTCATATGCAGATATGGGTTTTCTTCATACCAAAAATAAAGGATTTTTAAGGAAAGATGTAAATATATTAATATTCTGGTTAAAATGAAAACAAATAATTACTATATTTAATATTTTATATTAATTTATGTAGAATTCGCTACGAACAGTATATGAATCCTTGAAGTCTGACCTGAAAAGAGTAGAAGAAATGACTAGGGGAACCAACTCTATTGGCGCAACAGTTGCTGAGGTTTCCAATCAACTATGTCAATACATTACAGCCAAGATACAACTGATAGATTTGTTAGTATGTTATTTGCTAAGTATTTACAATAGTGTCAACCTCATTGGTATCAAAATTTTATGCAATATTATTGTATTACAGTTATGAAAAAATGTATAATATGAGTATAAATAGTAAAGTCATGAAGTACCAGGAATTGTTGCAATGTATAGAGGGAATAGTAGAAAGTCATGCTTTGTCTTGTTCACATTTAGCATTAACTGCATTTAAGACAAGCTTAACGTAAGTAAATGCTAAAACAAGGTGCTAACAAAAAGAATAATAAAGATTATGAGTGCAAATCTCATCCTTTGTAAATTAAAATATATTTTGAGTAGGTTGGAGTGCGAAATATTAGTGCAGTTAACAAAAGCACAAGTTGAACTCCAACATTGGAGGTTCTTATCAACATTAATGTCTCTTTATGGTGCACAAGCACGAATGTCAGCTTGGGAACGAACTTTACAAAACAAAGAGGTTAGTAGCATAAATAAAAACTAGAAAGAGTAAAAATGTTTAATCATCAATTATAATGTTTTTAGTCATGGAAATTAGGCTTTGGTGCGACTTTTCTAAAAGCGAATCAGCAGCCTGCATTGTACCAGTGGTTAGTGAAATTACGCAGTAGCATATTAGCTAAATGCTCTTTGTATTTCCATACTACTTTAAGTCAGCAGGCTAGTCCAGGAGAAATGAGAAGTATCATGAGCAAGCAAAATGTAGATTACTACCACAAGTAATACATCTCTAAGTAGTATGATTTATATAATTTATTGATTGTTGAAAAGTAACATACCGTCATTTCAGAATACAGAGTTTTCAACGCAAACATGATATTCTAGCAGTTTTAATTATATTTGATGCTAGAGGAGTAGAAGATTCAGGACCAGGTTACAGACATCCTCGCAGAGAACTAAACGCTACTGAACATTTCCCGGTTGTTCTCAGTTGTCCTAGTGTAAGTTCTCATAAATTATAAAATATCTGAAAAACAAATATTCATATAGTATCTTTCTATTCGTTTCAGATGTTTGTGCAAAAGCCATCAATTCATTTAGAGAATATACAGAAACGTATTAAAGAACGACAATCCGAACTTCTCGTTATGGATAAAATTGTCTACATTAAAACTGTAAAGGTATGCTATTAAATAAATTTTTAATAAGTTCTATATATATATAATGTATATTGATTTTTCTTTCAGGATCCATGTGTATATGCTATGTACAATACTGATCCCAGAATGACCCTAGTTACTGTATTTGAAAGTGGCAAACCAAGAGATAAGGAATCTCATGTAACATCGTTCATGACTGACTTATGTATGCAAATTAGGTGTAACAAAGTGTATGAAACGTTGAAATTATCGAAATAAGCTGACGTACAAATATGAATTAAAAATATTAAAATACTATCAATGATTATAGTGCGCCAAAAATTGGGTACTATTTTAATTACATGAGACTTATGTATAAATTTTGATAATGGTTTATTAATATATTATATTAATTAATTAATATCTTTAAACCAAGTTTTTTATTTTATTTTCGATTGTGAATATTGATATTCTGTAAGAAATAAATTTTATTATTTAAGTAAAAAGATTTTTATATTTATTACTATTCTTAAATATATACATTTTTATTATTAAGTAAAAGGTTTATAAAGACAAGATAGCTCTTTTCACTGCTTTTTCTTTATTTCTTCTAGCTCTATTTTTATGTTTGCTGCTTTTAGTTGCATCTGTGAAAAGTTGAATCCCTTCCTTTTCTTCAATGACACGTTGCATATGTAACATTCCGTGTAAATTGAATCCAACTGTATCCTAGACGAAACGGTTTTAAATTAAATTAATCCTTTTAGGTAATTACTTAATTATTATTTGTATAAAGGATGTTTCTTACTCTCAAGTTTGAAACTTTTTTCATGGCAAGAGTTTTAACAGTTTCTAAAATAGGTAAAAGTTCTCGAGTTGCCATAATTGGACCATGGTGAGCTTGTACTAAACATAATGCTAATCTAGCCATTAACTCCGTGTGATAATCTGATTCTAATAGTTTAGGAAGCATTTGAAGAATTTCACAGGCAGCTGAATATGGTAACAATAATAATGTTTCTTCCAAATCGCTAAAAAATTGTTAGATTATTATGCAATTAATTTTTATACATATCCTATTGTATACATATATTTACTATACATTTAATATACTTATAAATTATTTTTACCTTGCTCTGATTCGTTTAACTGTTTCTAACAGATAATCTTCTACAGTTGTACAATTGTAAGCTTGCATTTGCAAAGGAACAGCAGGCGTTGTATTTAATGAAGCTACTTTTGACAATTCTTCGTTAAATGCTTTAGATACATCCAAACATTCTAGTAATAATTCAGCCTAGAAAATATATAAATTTAGCAATTTTCGTGAATATGAATCGATTAATTTATATAAATTGTTTATATTTACTCCTCTTTCGCTGGATACAGTTTTTCTTGAGGGTAAAGATTGTGGCTTTTGTCCAGGGACAGCAGTAGTTTCACCAGTAACTAACTCATTTTCTTGACGTTCCCTCTCTTCTTCTTCTTCATCTTGTAGAACTAGAGGCTCTGTGGTTCGTTCATATAATCTAATTACTTTATCAGACCCACAGGATACAACATAAATACCATTTGGTGAAACAGTACAATTCCATGCTTCTCCTGAATGTCCCTGAAAATAAATAAATCAATTTTATGTAATTTTCAATTATCATTAACTTCTTTATTATAATATTATGACGCATTTTAGAAAAAAATTAATTACTTGCAATGTTACAATTTTTTGGAAAATATCAACATCCCATTCTTTTACTTTTCCATCTTTTCCACAAGTAAACACGTAGTGAGTACCAGGAACAAATGAAAGACCCGTCACAGAGTCATCGTGTGCAAATATCGATTTGTGACAATCTCCAAAATCTAAACCCCAAATTTTGATATTTCGATCGGCAGAGCCAGTAGCGATGAGCGTCGAGTCACTGGATATATCCATACATAAAACTGGTAATTTGTGCCCATAAAGCGAAATGAAAAACTGAGAGAACATTATACATTTTAATTACTTGATAAAGTGAATGTAATATTATATATATTTTTACAAATAATTACCTTAAACGTGTCAAGGAAAAAAATTTTTACAGTAGAATCTAGCAGTGCAACTGCAACAAATCTGTTATTAGGACTTATCCTGACACATAATACACTATCCTCCAGTTTTAAAGTTCTCAGATGTAAAACAGACAAAACTTTTGCCTTTATCTCTCTGTCAGGATCTTGAATAAGTTCAAAATTCCAAAATTTGACTGTTTGATCACCACCACCACTTGCTACTCCTTTCTACAAGGACGTAAAAAGTAATTGGAAGTTTATATAATGCTATGGAATTAATATAAATTTTGTTGTCACCTTATCAGGAAATAGCGTAACACTCCAAAGTTCCTTGGAATGTGCTGGTACTTCTTCTAATATGTCACCTGATGCAATGTCAATAATCAACATTTTACCATCTTTTAAACCTACTATTAAATGCCTATCACCTGGTACAAATGTTGCTGTTAAAGCATAACCACATGGTACAGTACGTAAACAAGCTAGTGTTGGTCTAAAATAAAATAAGATAATATTAAATATTGTCAAGATTTTCTACAAATCTTGTGTTATATTGTAATACCTATTCCATAATTTTACAGAATCTCCACTTGCTGTTGCAAAAGCCAAATTATCAGAACTAAAACAAACTGCACGAACTTCCGTTCGATGACCGTGATTTATTATTGACCTCAAATGTTTCACTTCAGCATCTTTATCCTGAGTGAACAAGGAATATAAGTCAATGGAATTATTATTTAACCCAACACATATCTGAAACGATAAAATAAATATTAGTTGAAGCATTTTCAGGTAGATTTCAATAGGGAAATTAAATTTGTTGCCATAACTTACTCTGAGTTCGCCTTCTCTACCCATTACCATGTTTAGTCCTTTGGCCTTAGCAGATACTTTGATAACAGGTAAACGAATCATTTCATCCTTTATTGTTGGTACACCTGAAAAATTTGGTTCTACGGAGCTCCCATGTCTATTTGTGAAATACATACATCGTGTTAAAAAATAGTAAAACACTAATGAAATACATAATTTCTATAAATATATTATAAAAACATCTTTTCATACTTTTCTGCTTTTTTTCTTTCTTTTCGTAATCGTTTCATCACATTCTCTTTTATTTTAGTATCAGGCAAAAATTGAAATAGTTCTATAGTATTATCTACACCATGACATCCTATAACAGTATGTGTTGTATCGACTTCAAGGGATACAACTCGTCCACGACTGCTTCTCAATATACTCCCAGTTTTCTCACATCTTAAAGGATATTTCTAATAGAATATAACATTTCAATGAAATGTATGAACAGTGAGTATATTGCAAATGTAAATATAAATTAATAAAAATATACCATGTCGCTGACTTCAGTTTCGTCTGCAATATTTAGATCTTGTAAATTAACTTCAAAATCTGTAGTTTCACCATCAATGAAAGATACTTTCCACACATGTAATTCATTATCATTGCAACCAGTTATTAAATATTGATCATTTTTAGCTAAAGCAAGACCCCAAACCTTGATTAATAAAAACATTTTTATTAATAACTTTGTGAAGAAATTAAGCTTAACCATATATTCAATGATATTTACTTCTGTTCTGTGACCAACAAGGGTTCTGAAACAATGTTCTGTATCTAAATCCCAAAATTTTATAAACGTGTCTTTACTAGCACTGATAATAATATTGTGATCCTTCATAAATGCCAGTTTAGTTATTACACCTTTATGGCCACTTAATCGACATATTCCAGTTTCTGCTACTATATCCCAAATTATAATGTCTGTATCCTAGAAAACAACAAATATAAATCACATCTAGAACATATACATATATATATATATATATATATATACTTCATCTAACTAGATATCTTACTTTTGAACCAGAAGCTAATTTATGTCCTTGTTTATCGTAAGTCATTGTAGTGATTTCAGATCTATGACCCACAAATATGCTTATATTTTCACCAGACCTTAAGTCAAAAGTTTTAACAGTACCATCTACATAACCAACTGCTATATGTCGTTGATTAGGAGATGCAGCCAAACATGATACATTTACTTTATCTCCTGACAATACTTGAGCCTGCAATAACAAAAACAATGTACATATATATATGAATATTTGTTTTTTGTAGAATAATATAAACGTTTCGTTTTTTACCTTTTCTCCCAGACGTAAGTCCCATATAAAAACATGTTCACATGCACCAACTGCTACAAATCTGCCTTCTTGTCCTTGTAATATTACAAATATAATATTACAAGAAGGACTGGCAATTATATTTAAATTGCCAGCAGGTACATATCTTAGATATTGCTTTGTTAAACCCATTTTCTATTTATTCAGGAAAGTGGTGGAGAGAAACAGGCTTCCCGGGTAATTCTTATCTTTAGGTATAAAATTATTATTTGTTTTCTCTTATGTGAAATGAAGAGTATTTACTTTGAAACAGCGGTTTATGATTGATATTTTCATAATGTAACATTCACTCGATAATCTGTTTTTGAAAGAACATGTAACTAGTTGTTTAACACTTAAATATTCGTTTCATATTTTAGGTTAAAAGCGCACATGGACTATGCTCGTACAGACAGCAACCGACACAGGCAGGTGGGGGCTAAAAAGAGATGAGGGGAAATGGAACCACGTTTTTAGTTGGAGACATAAATCCACGTGGCGCTAGTAAACATCACACACACATATCTAGGGTATCGGTGAGCTTGATAAAGTAACACTATACTGACTTCCTTCTGTAGTTTACAAGTTTTTTTACACGAAACATCAAGAAAATTGAAATATGGAAAAGGAATATCGTGGAACAGAAAGGAAATTCAATCATGTATTTCAAATTTCAATCTCCATTCTATTGATTTGGTCACATTAACTTTATTATCCAGATATCTTATCATCTTCGGTACATATTTTAACGTTAACGTTTCTTTCAACAGATCACATGTACAATTAAAAATTAAACAATACATAAATATTATTTTACATATTATACTTAATCAATACGGACCTAATTAGTGATCACTAATTTAAACTTAAGTGAAAATTACTTAAGCGATTCATAACGGAATAAAATTCAAATTATTTAAATATAAAAACATTACGAACTTTCGTTAAAATCGCTTAAGAAATTTTACTATCAACATAGAACAAACGGAATTGCATTTGCATACTTTATAGAGTAAGTTTATTATAATTCAACAAATTAAACAATGATCGCGAATAAAGTATGATTGATGAAAAAGAGTCCCGAATAGTTATGAAAATATATACTACTCTATTAGATCAAATTTCTTCTAACAATAAGTCAATCAGGATTGAAAAATTATTTATATCGCGTAACAATTCTAATAATGAATATAAAACTTCTAATAATTAACTAAATATTTTTTTACCAAAATTACGTGTACCTGTGTTAATTAACGCGCGACCCTAACTTGAGTAACCCAAGTGCAGCAAAGTGCAGCGCTTACCCAAACTAAGATGACGATTGTGTTTATGTAACGTGTGAATATTATATTCGATAAGAATGATAAGATGGCTCTGAATATATCAATAGGTACGAAATTGATAAACTAAAAACTAACTATAAACTAAAACTGTAAATGTAATAATGCAAATAATTGCCAAGCAATGTATTAAGAGACACTAATAATATTATTGATACCAAGTAACTGGTATTTTATTGTAATGAATAACATCTATTTCATACCTGTTGCTACTTGATCACTTCTAATCGCTATTAGTACTTTTGTTGGTTACCTATTAGTGTTCTTATCTAATATTGGGAGTCCTTTAAGTATAAATTCAATTTACATTGGGAGAATAGATTAATCGGTATCGCGAGCTTTTTTTCTCCACTCGGTATCAATTAATAATGTACTTCCATAAATTTTATCACAACCTTTTGCGGGTTATTTCGAGTTCGATTCTTGTTTTATTTTAACATAGCTGTATTTGTATGAACAAATATACATTAAATTAATCATTTTTTCCTGTTATAGATTGCTGGTTGAAATTTGAATGCGGTGGTGGCGTCATCGACGCCATGATGCTCTTTTCCAGTTCGAGCGGGATTTCACGAATTGTGGCGAACCTGAAATCTTCTTTAAACAAATAGGTAACATATTTATTTATATTTTCATTCTCTGTCGTGTGAATTGTGATCGGTAGTAAGCGTGTTACACGATTTCATAACGAATCATTGCTGATATGAAACGACAACGGTTATTTGAAATTTTTCGTAACGTGGAATTTTATGACAACTCAAAATGGCGTCGTGTTGTAATTCAATCGCGATTTTATATGTTTTAATATTCTTGTTTTATAGAATATTATTAATGCTTTGTCAAATATTTTATCACGAAGTTTACGCCATTACGATAGTATTCACTGTACCTTAGCAAGTTTAAATTCATTTAGAAACATCGTGATTATACGTTATATTACAGAAGCTTATGTAACTAACAAATTTTGATTTTGCAACGTGTCTCGCAATACTTATGAAAATCACGATATATCTTTGGATAGGGTACGACAAAAACGAACATAATTACAACTCTAGTAATGAAAATTCTAAATGTAACACTTCGTATTATATTTGAGCGTAATATTCTTTCACTGAATTTGAGATATTTGAATTCGTTGAGAGTGTTTAACTTTGACAGTTACAGATATCGAGTTTCAATAACATGGGCCAACAGATTATCGTAATTCTGGGAAGGCAGTATTTCTGCGAATAACAAAGAAAAAACAAAACATACTAGGCGAGCACCGGGTGTGCTTGCTTCGTGTTGTTTATCTTCTGTCTCCCTCTCTCTTACAGAAATTCTTACCGAGGACGCTAAAGCCAGTGTTTACTACCTTATTGCGTAGTATCCTTTGTTTCGAAGCTATCGGGCAGAATTTCGTTTACACATGGGCATACGCAAGGTACAGTTAGCATTTCCTGCGTATTGTAAATTTATTCTCGAGCATCGCTGTTTGTTTTGTTTGCTCAATCACGCAGTCACATTTGGTTCGACGGCTACGAACATCGATTGTATTTAATACTGTTTCTTTTAGTTATGTATATTTTCAAAATTGTTTATTGTCGACTTTATAGTCAATGTATTACTGAAAAGGAGTATTGGATCATGCTTAGTAAATTGAACCTGTATACAGTCAATGTAATAAGTATTCGTAGAGGAATCATTTATTTTAAATTGGTTGCTGTACGAATATTCTTACAGTGACTGTATGTACTCTATATTACAATTTCGTTTTTAATTCTAAAATTGTAACCGCCAAAATTTATTTTCTTTTATGCTTCTTTACAGATTTTTCGCGCCTGATGTTTGCAGAGTGTAGTGAAGCTATGCAGTCTCCTATCCTAATCTTTCTTTCAGAAATTTGGTGACCGCGCGCAATGCGGTCGGTAGAGTCAATGTTTGTTGCGTAGAAGTATTCTTATTTGTTTCGATGCGAACTGGCATCGAGTAGATTTTCGTTTACAATTTAGGTACACGCGAAATAGATTGAGTGTTTATTGCGTTTTGTAAATTCTTTCCAGAGCATCGCGGCTCTTTCAAATTTTCTATCGCGAGGTAGAGTCACGGTTGTTCGCCGACTATAATCTTCGGTCGCGTTAGTAGCTTTCTAATTTTTTGTTTTATTTATTCAACTAAAATTGCTCGATACCGGTGTTAGAGTCGGTGCATCATTGAAGAGGAGTTTTAAGCGATGCTTAACAAATAGGAAATGTAAGTATCTATGAATTCTTTATTACATTATAAATTGGTATCTCCAAAATTGCAACAACAGAAATTGATCGTTATGTTTTGTGTTGTTTTGCAAATTCTTCACACCTCACCCCAGGGTTCGTGAGTCTAGCAGAGCTACTACGATGTCTTCGGAGTTGCTGGGCTACTACGATGTCTATCACATAGCAACGAATCGTGAGTCGCATGCTATTTTGTTCCTCTAATCTCCCAATCATGTTGTCAATTGGGCAACTCGCGTTTTGCATTAGTGTTGCGAAATAAAAATCTGAATCGTGTTCGTTTCCAGGATAGTTGCTTTGATTAGTATTTTTCGCGTTTTCTTTCCGGGTAGTGTTGCGTATAAATACCAATCACGAATGCCATTAGTGTTGCGTATAATGAATATTGATCGCGACCAATTAGAAGTAAATTCTCGTGTTTTGAATTAGTATTTCGAAATATATATAAAGAGCCCAAAATTTGATGATGTCACTAGTTTTAGTTTCGTCATCATTATCCAATGTGTCAATTGGAAGAAAATTATTCAATTTTAAATTAGCTAAAAATAGGGATATTTAAAAAATTTGATAAAAGTACGTGACAATATGTTTTCTTGTATTTTTTAATACAAAGGAACTGTAGAAAAAATTACATTACAATAATGTACATTCACGTATTTTGGGAAACAGTCACATTTTAATCAGAATCATTCAATATTCACTCGTGCCTAAATGATGCACACATGTATAAATTGCTGGAATCACATTAAAAATTACTTTTGTAAAACAGTGAACAAAAGGCACTGTTAAGAATTATTTTGTCATCTCTCGAACATACAATTTTAATTTTTTACAATATTAACACTTCAACAATCTTCTTCTATTTGCATTGAATAATATAACATCACAATAATTTTACTATACTTTGTACATCTTTTAAGGGGACAAAAGCTTTACATACTTTTAAATTACCACATGAAATTCAATAGCATTGAATATATCAAGGGTGTGCATTATCTATTAATTGGTAAATTCTCTACAATATATATATAAATATACAAAATAACAGGTTTTTACACTCTTACCAAGGTACAATATTGTAATTATAATTAATGACAAATTATGTTGCACCCTACAGTAAGTTCTCGAGTTACACGAATCCGGAGATTTACACTTGTGTCGCTATGTATATTCTTATACATATTGTGTGTGTGCATTGTTCGACTCGTATTATTTATACAATTCAATTTATGAAAGAAACTTTGGAACAAATTGACCGTGTAAGTCGAGAACTATTGTATACAATAACTATTGCTAATATATCTTACGTATTTAACATTGTGTTGTTGCAAGAGCTGCAGTATCTTTTTTACATTTTGTCACTGTATTTCAAGCATAAATGTTGTATCAAAAGCTTATATGAAATACAGATGGTTCAGCCACTGTATAGTTCTATTGTGTATGCGAATGTTCAGAAACCATATGTACAGTACTATAAATGTATAAAAATCTTTATCCATTATTTTCTAATCTAGGTTTGCCGATTTGTTCTCCTATATGAACTGGCTGAGCTAACGAATTCTGGAACCACATCATCCAGTTGCTCAAATAATGACCTCCCAATTGATTATCAGGATTCTCCTTTATCTGCACATTGTTTAATTCTTCAAAATTGCGAACCGTTTGAAGTTCAGTGAAATTATTATTCACCGAGTAGCCTCCATGCATTCTTACCTCCCTTTTTCGAATAGCATCTTTTACTAACCTTTGCCTGCGCTCCTCTTCCGTTTCTATAGCAGATCTAGTAAATCTCATTTCTCTGACTCTCAAGGCATCTTTCCTTAATCTTTCTTTTCTCTCTTCTTGAGTTTCTTTAGCATACTGATTCAGTCGAGCCTCTCTTCGTTTCGCAGATTCTCTGTTTAGTCTCTCCCTCCTTTCTTCAGGAGTTTCAGTAGCATATAACGAAAGCCGTTTCATTCTTCTTCTCTCCGCTTCGCGATCGAGCCTCTTCCTTCTGTCTTCTGGCGTTTCATTGTACATTCTGTACTCTCTCTTTCTTGCTGCTTCCGCATCTAATCTTTTTCTTCTTTGTTCCGGAGTTTCATAATACATTCTCATTTCTCGTCTTTTCGCTGCTTCTTTCGCTAATCTCTCTAGGCGTTGTTCTTCGCTTTCTTGTTCATACAGTTTTTTTCTTTTCTCTCTCATACACTCTGCTTTTCGTCGTAGTTTTTCTTTATAATCCTGTAAAGATCTTATTTTCAGTTGTCTTTTAGATCTCTCATGTTTACTTTCCTTAGTTTTCACGTTATTGCCATTTTCCGACGTTTGGTTCTGTTCTTCTGTTGCTGGTGTTATTGTAGCTTCGATATTGATAGGGACTTCTACCTGTTTCTTGGCATTTTTGGAAGGATTCGATCGAAGATTGCTTTCGTTGTCTACATTACACAACCATTCTGTGGTGTAAACTGTTTCTTGATCTAGTTCATCTTCCTTTTTTATATTAAGATTTAGTCCTAGAAGCTCGCTTGGTATAGTAACTGCAGAAATACTATAATTAGCTGATTGTATTTGTTCGTTATGATCGATAAATATCTCTGAAATTTGACTCGTCGGCTTTTGTATTTCTATATTCACATTTTCATAGTCTAAATTCTGCAAATACATTGACCCACTTAAAATGCCATTAATATTGTAATTTTCATTTTGTTCTATGGGATTTAATGTAGAGATTAAATTATTTAAGCTTGCATTTTGCATATAATCTTTACTATTTATATTTGATTCTTTGCCTTCGATAACTGCACCGTATCTCTTACTTTCTTTAATTTCGATAGCACAAAAATGTTGAGCCGCGTTAATTATCTCAACTTCATTGAAATCTGTCTCACGTTCATCGTTCTCTTGCTTAACATAAACGGGAATAAAGTCTATGGAACAATCTCTTATTTGTACACTGGTTTCACTTAATTCCATGACCTTACGATCCAGTAAACGGCAGCAGATACTAAAAAGTCAAAAAGCATAGGCACATTAAAATTGAAAGTTTACACATTCTAATACAATTTTGTAACATAATCGTAAATATAAATCGTAGAATCTCTGTCATAATATTTGGAATATTAAATGATAATATACAAATATTAATTAGGTAAAAGATTAGTTGTAGAAATGAAAATTACTGTATTTGGTATCTTCATTTGGAAGAAAATGTTAAGATGATTTAATGGATAGTATAACAGAGTATTAATTAAAGAGTAAATTTCACCTGTGTATCGTCTGCTGATGACAGCTGATCCGAAGATGATACTACAAGTGTTAGAACATGTTCAATGTTTGCTGCAAATCGCAGACTTTCAGCCGTTATCTTTTCCTTGTGCGTCACATGGTAATATAATATAGCCGACAGATTGAGTTAATATCCATAAATTCGGCTGCTTGTCGTTACACGAAATTAATTCGCACGTCGAGCTATTTACCGCTCGTCTATCCACGTCGTTCGACATTAGGTTTGTTCGCATCGACTGCGCTTATTGCACTTGCGCAAAAAGTACGGGCAACCATTGGCTGATTCCCATAGCTCCGAAAACCTGGGTCAATGTTTTTCGCACGGAGTGATGAAAACGAATGGACCAATAGCGGAAAATGATTTAAAATGCAATTTTAAAACGGTGCACATGCGTAGAGGAATGATAGAAGCGCGTAACATTTAAAAACACAGTCATCCGCTTGCTCTTAAAAACCATTTATTCGCGTCGTTACATTCTTTTTATGATAGTTATTTAGATCCTATTCGAAACCACGATCTTTTCCCCTGTGAATGGCTAAGAATACATTTGAATCAGATTGCTTTATTGAAGAATATGTGAAGTAAAATTTATAGGTTGCTGAAAAGTTAAAGAGAAATAATTGAATTAATGAAAGGAACGTATAGTGAATTTCGTAATTGTGTATAGTATGATGCTAAACAAGATCTATAGTAACTTTATTTTGAAGAATTGATTAGGTTTGTCAGGCATTGTCTACCGTTGATAAGGTAGAACTTTAACGTTCTCCTGTTTTATCTTTACCCTTTCACAAAATTAATTTCTGGTTTGGATTTATATATAAGTATACTTGTATTAAATACATATATTGTTAAATAATATGATGTTATTAGAATAAATATGTATTATTTTTATGTTTTTACTTTTTTCTTTTAAATTAAATAGTTTAATAATTAGCAACATTTCTATTTATTATAGTATCAAACCAGATAAATTTAATCCATCAAACAAAATAATATTCTCTTAGTGTAATCCTCTGTTCCTCAGTCTCTAGTTCGGCGGATCCTCGCCAACTATCCAGCAACGGACGGTACATTCGACATAGTAAAATGCCGCGAAATTTCAAACGAAACCTTTTAACGGAAGATCCTATACTATCTTTAACGTGGCGTACCGTTTTGAGCTCGTTCCTTTGCTCGCCGTCAATAAATGTCATCGCTTTTGGTGGCAAAGAGAGAACGCACGATGCCTTACACAGCATCCGAATGCCCAATCCACTTCGCATGAGAATCTTAACTTGAGCGTCATGGACGTATAGCGCCGCGATGGGACCGTTCAGGGAGAGGTCCGACGATGCTTTTTGTCGGGCACTACGTGCTCTGATAATTAAGACATTTCCATTTAGAGTTGACGTTCGGTGACGTGGAGATCCTGCGCCGGGCGCGCGTACGTTTTCGGCGCCCTCCTCTCCCTCCTGCCCCGGGTTACAGAAAAACCTAATCCGCATGCATTGTGTTGATAATTAATGGTGTATGATCGAGGGCCACCGTTCCAGGAACGACGGGAAGATACGGACCGCGTAAGAAACGATACGTGTGTATCCACCGCGAGAAAGATTTATTAGTTTCGCGTAATATAGCGAGAGAACCGATCGACCCGATTCCCCATTCGATATCGGAGTGGCATTTAAGGAAATAATTGGGTGTTCGTGTTTTGCGTATCCGGCAGAAATAGTCGGAGATCCCGGCGACGATTCTGCTTACGTCGTTTTGAGATCAAAAATAACCTTTTTTTTTTTTATATGAAAATATAACAATCGACAGTATTTTGAAAAAAGATTAATGGAGTTACGTAATTTTGAAATGGTTGATTTTTGCATCGTATAAGATGTTTAGAATTTCTCCCTTGTTAAATGTTGTTTCAATTC